AGTCTCTATGGTAATACATACAGTGCATGTACATGTTTAGTGTACTTCAGGGGATCATCCTGGTGAAACTCAGTCAATTGATATTTTTCTCCCATTAATAAACAAGCACTGAACCAATAGATGGAGTCATGCTAATGAGATGGAGATAAAGAACCCCAAATGAGGCAGTTGATCAGATGAAAGCTCTGAGAAATTGGTCCCCTGGCTACATTAGCACAGTAGGCATCTGGGAATCAAATATTCAAATACATCGGGTCTCTTCTTGAGTCCCCATAGAGTTGGATCTCAAAGGCTAAAACATGCATGAACCCTTGTTGGAATGAGATTTCTAGCTGATAAAATTATGGGAATTTTGGGTAATATTAATACTGTAGGTTGTACTAGACTTTGTTGCTCTTCCTAGAAAACCACTGGCATCACTACTAGGCTGGTTTATGGGGCTGGGTAACTGGAAAGCCAATTGAGTAGTTCCTTGCCTCAGTCAACAACAGGGAATCATGGTAGTGAACAGAAGGTAGGGGAGGACAGAGAAGAGGCAGGGAAGGAGGAGAAGAGCACAGACACCAGATGCTAACCAAAAATATGAGTTACTTAGCAGCATAGAAAAACCCCTTCCTTAAGTCCTCAATCCTAGGACAGAAGTACACATTAAGTAAGAGCTCACACCATCACCTATGTACAGAATATATATATTTTTATATGTACATTACATATCTATAAAAGTGTTTGAATTTTGATCTGTCTCATAGGAAGTTACTATAGTGAATGGGGGGGAATAGGCACATTTTGTGAGATGTCAATCAAATCTAAGTGATTGCTCTTATTGATGGATGCTGGGGATGTGCTTTTTGGAAACTGCATTACCCACACTCAAGCGAGTTTGTAGAGTCTTGACTGTAGGCAAAATTGGACTCAAAGTTGTTTATCTACACCATTTCCATCCTACAGAACTTTGCTATAACAAGGTTGGAAATAAAAGCATGGGTGCAAAGACCTTAATGCAAAAACACAAATGCCAAAACAGGGAACTTCACCCAATCAGTCTCTGCCACCTCTGAGCATGATACACTAGGTTGAATATAGCAAATTATAACCTATTTTTGCCACATTACTCCTTGGAATAGATCTGTAGTAACTTGATTAAACACTGGACTTGAACTTTCAACAGTAGAAGGTTTATTTAAGAAGAACCAAATTAAATGGCAGCAAAGGAATGTGAATCTTCCTTGCCCAGTATGGAGTTAGAGGATCAACTCCAACCTTCTATTATGTATGAAGCCTCTCACCAATACACCTGAAATTCAGTCTCAAGGTAATATAAAGAAGTGACAACGCAGTTGAACGGGAAGAAAACTTTTGTCCTTTAAGACCTTGTGACCTACTTTTTTCCCTTTAAAAAGTATCAACTTAAGGAGAAGCCTGGGCCCATCCTGGAAGTATTAACTCATGACATAAAGTCACCTAAGATTTGCTTTGATTACTGATCTCCCAGAAGTTATATTGAACTTTTTCAATATAGTAGATAAATGTATATATATACACACACACATATACCATGTATACATGTATATATACACATACATACATAGTGCCACTCTTTGACAGATCAAAAAAATGCAATTAAGTATTTAAAAATGTCTATGCTTTTGTCCATCTACTTTGATGTAACATAACACACATGATCCAATTATTTAAACATCAACACAAAAATGATATCATTTTTACAGTTCCCATGAAAACCTAGGCAGTTTTTCAAACACTTCCTTTTTAAACAATGAAGATATGAATTACATCGAAGACATTAAACATGTGAATTACACAATGGGTTTACAGAAAAAGTTGACAATAAATAGGCAAAAGGAACAAGTTTATCAAAGATTTATTATGAACAAAAATTTAGTTGAAATTAAATACTGTAGCAAAAATTATTTGGCAAAACTTTATTTCTCCCATACTAGTAGAGAACAAATGTCCCCTTTCAGCTCCAGTGATGAACCATGAACTCTCTACATGATGTCTATCCTACTGAAGAACCAGGCCACCTATGTGAACAGTTATTTGTGAGTGGAAGAAAAATCAAAGCAAAATTTATTTTTCCACCCCTAAAACCTGCCTAGTGGCAGGTTTGACACAGGTTAAAAGCACATTCAAATGTGTTTCCTAAAATAAAATTTGTGTGGCATTAAAGACAAATGGTTAGACAGTCAATTTAATAATAGAGGCTTTCTAGTATGATAGCCAAATATAGTTTTTTATTTTGTTTTTCCTTCCTTGTGAAAATTTTCCTGTCCTGAATAACTATTCAAATTGGGGCTTTCCTTTTTTTGTCAAACTATTCTTTAATATCATTAGTTACCTTTGTTTTCCAAGAGATGAATACTTTGGTAAGAAAAATTAACTAAATGAACCCTGAAGAATGTCATCCTGACCACTACTAACTTATTGGCCAAATGTGTCAGGGTAGTTCAGATACAGAAAGTAAACATCAGAGTGGGGATTATGTACTCTCTGTAAGAAGTGGGCCCACATTCAGCCTCTCCATTACTCATGAGACACCCTTTACTATTGCTGAACATAATATGCAAGGGAAACATTCATTTAAATAGGATTCATTTCTGTGGATCCATGAGTGAAACATACCTTTATAATTTTGTTGATGTTCTTATAATTGTTGAAGTGAATAACAGATATGTATTTATCAAAATATTTAGCCTCATCCAATGGTATGTAAATTTTGAGGATCAGGACTAAGACTTGGTAAAAACCTACCCTTTTAGCCTAAAATCTAGAGAACTTTGCTCATTTCCTGAAGGTTAAACAAAAAGTATGAATCCCTCCCTTTTGCATTTGTCCTAAATGCATCTAAAGCTGCTTAGATGGTCATCCTACCTGTATTGCTTGTGTGTGATTTTCTATGTGTGTGATACAATCAGATTTATAGCAGATTCAGATACACAAGCAAGCCACACTATTTTTACAAATGTTTCTAATCATTTAAATCAAAATCAGTGCTTGGATATAAAATTTAGCATACAAGTTTCTTGGTGGAAAAAGCAAGATGAAGAGAAGGAAAGCAGGTTTGACATAGCAGATGGAGTATGGATTTGCACAGACAGACCCTGGACTGTCCACTAAAGAGCAGAAGAGAAAAGTTGAAGAGGGAAGAGTAATTGATCCTCTTCTACGTACTCTGAGATCAGAAAGGGTTGGGTCACAGACTGTAGCATAGTGCCACCTTCTTTAACATTGCCTGCACAACGAATGTGCTCTTCATACCGAGTAAAGAAACTACCCAGTTGAATAAAGAACCCAGCAGGATGATTATTTTGTATATTCCCAGTAGGACCCATTACTGTACATCTCCCCAAAATGAAAGGGATGATCAGACTAATTATGTGATACTATCAGTAGATTCCACACCTTAATTTCAGATTTGGCTCTCCTGTGACTAAAGTGTTTCCTCCTTATCATGGCATGCATACACAATAAGGAGAGCTAGGAGACGCTTCTCAGGGAAACGACGTTCTTCGGTCTTGTTCAAAAGCATGAGATGATCTGTTTACTATAGGTTATCAGAGATCCCAGCTCTGGATCTCCCAACCTTTATTGCTAGCGATATCCCAGTTAATTCAATGGGAAAGCTTCAGTGCTGCGGTGCTTAGATTTAACCAAACTGAAGCACTATTTTACGATGTGGAGGACTCTTTCTCAACAATACAAGAAAGTCAAATAATATAGCAGTCATAATTTTACAAAGCACTTTGTGCTACTTTAAGCACCTCTTGTTCCAGAATTGAAAAAAACAAAACAAAACAAAACCTTTATGAAAAAGCATTTAACCTCATTTTGCAGATGAGGAGACTGAGGCACAGAGAGGTTAAGTGACTGGACCAAAGACACCTGGGTTAGCAGTAAAGAGGACAGAACATGGGACCCTCAGCATTCTAGCCTTTCTTGGCCTATTCTTCAGTTCCTGTTCTGGCTTGGAAAATGCCAGCGTTAAAAACCAAAGAATAAGATATGGAACTCACGTATGGAAGGATTTGTGTAGCATTTCGTAGAAAGAGTTTCTGGCTCCCTACACACATTCTTTATGCATGGGAAATCTAGCCCTGTAAATAAAACCTTGACAATTTGAAAAATTGAGGCTGTTTTGTTATCTACAGTAAATGAGGTGTTAAATTTGTTTTTTAGGAACATTTACTGGCTCTCAGAGCTGAATCCAAGACTCAGTATTACATAACTTAGGAAAAGTACCAGTCTTCTACTCTTCTCTGGTAGAAAACGACCTTATTGGTAATGTACGTTAGTTACTTCTATATAAAAAAAAGTAGAGCTGTCTTGTTGCTGTCAGTTCTCTGGGGAAAAAAATGTTATCAGTCTAAACGACAAGAGGTCAGAATGCTCTAGGCATATCAGGATACTTTAAAAAAATCATCATAATTTTGTTGAACTTTTGCATCTCTGTGGCAAACTCAGCAGTTGGTAGAAGTTTACTTTTCACCTCTACTGTGTTTTTATTCAAACTGTATAACATATTTATTTGCAGGCAATTTTAAGCAGCCATTTGAAAACCAGTATTTTGGAAATGGATTCAGAGATGCTCTCGGGCCCGTGTGCCCTAGATAGATGGTAGCATTGTTAACAGAACCGAGTCAGGGAACTTGTGATTTAGGGCATCATCTTCTTAATTTTCAATATGAATGAGATCAGTCTGTTCGTGGAGGAAGACAGATGTGACAGAAGGCCAAGGCAGCATCAAATCTGCTTTTATTTCTTATGTTACATTCGCCTAGGTCCTCTGCCTTGTTGCCAGTTGAGTGGGGGGTCACTGTGGTCCACTCTCATCTGTCCTCTGTGGAATGCATTCCACAAGCTCCACCTCTTGCAGAGAAACAAACGGGAAACTGCTTTCCTTCCCATTCACATTGCAGACGGCTCTGTTCCTGAGTTTTAAACAACAATAAAGACAAAAAGCAAATCCCTGTAGTAAGAAACCAGACTTTTCAAATGAAACATTTTATTGTAAATAGCTCCTCATAGGTATTCCTCGTGCTTCATTCCCCACCCGCCCTTGTTTTTTCCTTTGTTTTGATTATTGAAAATGTTTATTTCAGGACTAGTGTTTCCATGGGGTGTGGTGTTACATTAAAATGATCCCCCTGCACAGCAGGGGGAGAGTGTTTCTTTGTAACTTTGGTTCCATGCCCAAGACACATCTTTCCTTGATCTGCTGAAACTGTTTCCATTGCTGAACTTTTTCTTTACACAATATACGTTTATAGTTCTTTTCTTCTGGTTTGACATATACATGTTTCATTAAATGCAGCATATATTGTAGATTTTCAACAGGGTCATGTGGGAACTGTCAAGTAAGAAACCTTGAATAATGGCTTTAAAATACACAGTTGTAGTCCTGGCTACAGGGTAGTTCTTAGCTTTTGATCTCCCTCTCACTGTTGTAAACATTTCTGCCATCTTTGAAGGTCTAGAAGCATTTGCCTTTCTGGGGTCTTATCCGTGTTTTCGGTTACTCTGAAAAACAGAGGGAAAATTCTTAAATCATCATTTCTGTCATTAGCTGAAGCAGGAAAAAAATTCTTTTTTTAAGGAAAAAAAATTATTCTTTACCACCTCTTTGAGCTCTACTATCTAATCCAAGTTACATAAACGAAGTCTCTAAACTCAATCCCTTTAATTTTAAGTGAGAAAAGAGAACAATCTATTTCAAGGGTTATATATGCATGGAAAGTGATGAACAGGTCTTATTTCATAGTAAGCAGCCTGATATATAAGCAATTATCATAGTAGCCTTTACTTCTGGGGCCTTCTAAGACAACACCTTAGAAGCTCACATGAATGATCATACCCCCAAAATTAAATATAAAATTACAAAACATAAAATTCTTTTAAAAGTAGGTCTTGTCTATCTATGCCTTCCAGTGACTTACTTTTATGTCATATTTCCTCCTCAACAATTGTATCCAGTGGCAGGTATTCTCCACTCTGAGGTCTTGACCTGGGGATTCCCTGGGAAGTATGCCATATGGGTTTCTTAACTGGCTCCAGAGATGTTCCTGAAAAGGTACTTCCCTGGACTATACCAGTTAGAACTCCTAGCCCTAAGTCTCTGTGTCTGAGTTTTAACTTGGATAGATGTTAAGGATATAATACTGTCTTCCCCCCAAAAGCCAGAGATGGCACAAAGGATGTGCTATCATGTGCTGCTCAAAGACTTGGCCTTTAGAGCCTCAATAACATGGATGGAGAAAACTGGGATTTCCAGTTTTGGACACTGTATGTCCAATGACAAGTTATTTCAATTCTCTAAGCCTTCATTTCTCCATCTGTAAACAAAAATACTCATTCTCTAGTAGGACTTTACTGGTGCTGCAGAAATAGTGATCAATATCCAAAGTGGTGGGAAGCAATGCAGTTAGTACCCCAGGAGATTTCCAGTCCACCAACCAAAGGCAAATGAAAGATTCAAAAGAATTCCTGACATTAGCACCAGTCAGAAATATCTGGAATTCATATCTGCAGAGGCATGTTGCTCCTAAAGACTAGATTAGACATGAATGAAAGAGTGATAGGGTCACAGAGGAGGACCAGTGGGAAGGAAGTACAGTGGGTTAGATGTAGGAGGGAGAGACTGCTGGTACTTGCACAAATGAGACTCACATTCTAGTGTTCAAATACAGAGCAATCTTTCTTTGTCTATCTGGGCAGAGAACTGGAGAGGGATGGGGGGGCAGAGATAGGGGCAGGAGATTCCTTCCCAACAAGATGCTGTGGCTAGGAGCACAAGTGCTGAGATCCAGAGTAGCAATGGAAGGGCTTGGGTCAGGGAATACTGCTGTGGGTACACCCTGCACAGCTTCTGAAGAACTCACACATACGTTCCCCCAAATGGCCAGTCTTTCATCACCTCTCATAGAAAGGACATCAAGCACTGGTAACTGCCAGAGAAAAGCATCAACCACCAGGGAGAGAGTCACAAGCACTGTCAATGAAGTTGAGAGGCATGTACTCTTTTCCCTCTGCCTCTTCCCTGCCCTCCAGGAGAACCAAGCCTTGAAGAGGGAAGAGGGAGAGATCTCTTAGAGCCAGATCATGAATCTGTCCTACACCTGGGATAGGGAAGAAATGAGATTAGATAGAATCTGAGGTTGAATTTTAAACTGAGCCAGACTTTTAAGAACTGAAAAACTGGGGAGCCAGCTTGAGATTTATTAAAGAATAAGAGGAAAATTAGAACCTGAGTGAAAGCCATGTTTTGAGAAAAATAAATTATGTTCATATTTACATCCCACTGAGATAAGAGCCCCAAACAACTGGCTACAACTGTAATACTCCTATATTCCCTGGTAGAGAAGAAAACTGATCTTAACGTACATAAAAGATGCTTTAAAGTGTGTGTTTGTGTGTGTATAATATATGTACATATAAAATACATACAGTGTATGTGTATTTGTATGGATAGAATAAATATGTAAACACAGAAGGGCAGTCTCCCAGAATATTAAATTTGTGTACAGTGAGAATCTGTAAAGGAACTAGGAACAGAGCCACATTTATTCAGATGGGCATTGTGAATAACTGAAGTCCTATCCAATGGTCCACCATCAATGACCAGTTTTCAGTGAACCAAAGGTACACTGTAACAAAAACTGTAGAGAACATACACTCGCCTTTGATTGACAAGGCCCTTGGGATATGACAGAACCTCAGGAATTCCTATGAGTGGGTTGCTTTAACATCACTGAGCTTTAGTTTCCTCCTCTGCCACACAGCGATTGCAGCTACCATTTCTGAGAGTTTACTACATGCCAGCAGACCATAAGTGAATGAGCACAGTGATGTCATGTCTGACTTGTGATTCCAGTATCCAAGTACCTACTACACTGCCTGGTTCACAGATGACACTTATCAAATATGAGTTGGGTTTAATGGACAGGCTACTTATGTTCACTATTCTTTAGGGTTTTCTAACTGCTAGAAGCTATAGTTTTGATCCTTTATGGGCCACATATTTAGAGGTATATTGAGTCACAAACTGTAGCTACCTCCTGATCCCTAGTTATCATAAAGAACCCCAAATCCTGGACAGCAGTCACTCCCTCTTCCTGCTTCTGAGGTCTCTGTAAAGGGCACCATCACCCAACAAACTGTACCATCCAGACCCCTAAGGGTCTTCCTGATACCTTTCATTTCCTAACCCTCATATACAATTTATCATACAGTAAAATAGTCAATAAAGGGTAGCTCTTATTATTACCTCCATCTTACAGATGAGGAAACTGATCCTGTTAGGTAGTTGGGTTAAGAGAATCCTAGTGGGAAAGACATAAGGATAAATTAAACAAAACTGAAGTCAGAGGATCAGAGGAGGCTTCCCTGAGTCACTGATTTTACACTGACATGGGTAGGACAAATGGATATTAACTAGTTGATGGTTATGTGGGAAAGACATTCCAAGTGGACAGAAGCACATCTCATAATGCATGATCCAAGACAGAATGCTTACTGTGTCCTAGGAACTTGGCTTTTAATGAGTCTTTCTATATGCCATGTACCATACTGGTTGCTTTACTTATATAATGTCATTTAATCCCTAGAGAAATAGTAGAGGCTATCACTTGCTAATCTTTTATATTAAGAAATTAATATTTATAGAGGCATAATAGTATCTATTTTGTAGGATCTCTCTATTAAATAAAATAATAGATATGAAATGCACTTGTCAACCACAAAACAGATGTCTTCTTTCTCTTCTTTACCATAATATCATAACTATCATTAAGAAATATTTATGGATTGTCAATACAAGCTAGGCACTATGTGGGCATTAGGGTTACAGGATGAATAAAACATGTATGGTCCTTGCCCTCATGAACCTGGACACAATGAGGAATACGGGCATTAATTGAGAAAAATGACAACAACAAGAACCAAAACAACACAAATGCATGTAAAATTTGTCTGGGAGTACAATCAAGGAAGACTTGCCTGCGGGAGTCACAGGTGAGCTGGGATCTGAAGGATAAGTGAGTAGGTGTTTACTAGATAAAGCAGGGCTGAAAGTACTGTGTGCACAAGGACTGCGTGGGGAAACCCCTGCAGTAGGCAGAAGGGACTAAGGCTCATCAAAGAAGCTTCTAGAGCAAGAGAAAGCCTGAGAGGCTGTTTGCAGTTAGACCATTCTGGGCTCTGTTTGGCACATTAAGGGAATGAGATTTCACTCTAATGATGATGCTTTCCCAGGCAGGGGGCATGGTTAGATTTGTGTTTCCTAAAATTCACTCAGCTGCCATGTGGAGTGTGAATTATAAGAGCGTCTAGAGAAGAAGCACCGAGCCAGGTGAGTAGGACATCACCACCAGGGAGTTGGGGGAGAATGTATTTATTCATGTATTCTTTCCTTTGTTCACTCTTTTTTTTTTTTTAAGATTTTATTTTATTTATTTTTTAATTTATTTAACAGAGAGATACACAGCAAGAGAAGGAACTCAAGCAGTGGAAGTGGGAGAGGGAGAAGCAGGCTTCCTGCCCAGCAGGGAGTCTGATACAGGGCTCCATCCCAGGATCCTGGGATCACTACTGGAGCTGAAGGCAGACGCTTAACGACTGAGGCACCCCGGCACCCCTGTTCACTCATTCTTCAACTTATTCTCCAATGACACATAAAGAACAAATCATATAGCCATCTTATTATTATAGTCCCATACTATCCAGGGCTCTGACCTAACATGTCACAAATCTGCTTTCTCAGTCATTTACCCAACCATTTACTCATTTATCTGTCTAGCCTTCAGTCCACCTGTCAACTTAAAATGTGTTCAGCACTTAGTATATAGAAGGCACTGCTGTAGACCTTGAACATACAAAGATCTATAAAGCATAAGCCCTAGTCTATGCTTTCTTAATAGTCTAATCTATAAGACAGGGAAACAACCTCAGTATGACTAGATGAAGACTAATAAATATATCTACATAAAGAAAGACTGATTGGGGTGCCTGGGTAGCTCAGTCAGTTAAGCATCGGCCTTTGGCTCAGGTCATGATCCCGGGGTCCTGGGATCAACCCCCACATTGGGCTCCCTGCTCAGTGGAGAATCTGCTTCTCTCTCTCCCTCTGTCCCTCCCCCTGCTTGTACTCTCTTCCTCTTTGTCAAATAAATAAAATCTTTAAAAAAAAAAAAAAAAGGAAAGAAAGACTGACTAACTGGCATACAATGATTCATCTTATCTCTTAACAATATAAGAGAATAAGGAACAAAATTTTCCATCTCAAACAATAAATATAGTAGAGTCATATTGCCATTTATTTTCTGCAGGCTACCCCCAGGCCTTCGCAGGAGGGATTGAAAAAATATAAATGTAATAAGAAATAAACATTTGCATATTTTCATGGAGAATTTGTAACTAATCAGTTGTAGCTGGCTTTTTAAAAAAATTTATTTATTTATTTGACAAAGCGGAGAGAGACCACAAGTAGGCAGAGAGGCAGGCAGAGAGAGAGGGGGAAGCAGGCTCCCGCTGAGCAGAGAGCTGGATGCGGGGCTCCATCCCAGGACCCCGAGATCATGACCCGAGCCAAAGGCAGAGGCTTAACCCACTGAGCCACCCAGGCATGCCGTAGCTGGCTTTTTAAAAGAGTTTTATTTATTTATTTAAGAGAGAGAGAATGAGAGTGGGGAGGGGCAGAGGGAGAGAGAGAGAGAAAAACAGACTCCTTACTGAGCAGGGAGTCTGATGTGGGCTCTATCCTAGGACCCAGAGATCCCAATGCCAGCCAAAGGCAGACACTTAACCAACTGAGCCACCCAGGCCCTGCTATGGCTGTTTTTATAATACAGTTTGTTTGTTTATTTATTTATTTGACAGAGAGAGAGAGAGAGAGATCACAAGTAGGCAGAGAGGCAGGCAGAGAGAGAGGGGGAAGCAGGCTCCCCGCCGAGCAGAGAGCCCGATGCAGGCCTTGATCCCAGGACCCCGAGACCATGACCCGAGCTGCAGGCAGAGGCTCAACACACTGAGCCACCCAGGCACCCACAGTATTTATTTTTTAAGTCTTTTTTTCAAAAAATCAGAACAACAATACAGTATTATTGGTCTTTTAACCTGTATTATGTTACTAGACAGGAAGTGAAAATAATGAACTATCAAGTTCAAGTGTTCATGGTTGACACTAGGGTCATTAAAAACGAACAACGGTATGTAGATGAAAAATCATGATCACCTGTTCTCGGTCTGGTCTTCCAAACTGCATAATGAACAGAGTTGATTCTGGTATGTTCTTCATTAACATGTTCCTCTTCAGAAGAAGAGGATTTTCAGTGGGTCACTATAACCTGGATGTAACAATAACCTGATGATAGCTATTTCTGTACTCCTCTCATTTTCTTCTTTCCTTTGTCTCCATGTATAACTGACATGGAAGAATTTGTGGTACGCTATTTATTTTAGAATAAATCTACAGAATGCATGCACAGATGGTATCTTCTGAAACTACCTGGGGTTCCCCTGCTTAAGATTAAAGTCCTGATATAATCTGTGCAGCTGCATTTAGCTGCCACTGAGAGCAGTAAGGGTGCTTTCTTGGGAGCCTTCGGCAGCTTCTAGATCACCAACAAAATGACTTAGGTAATTTAACTGCGAAAAGAAAAAAAAAGCACGAGTGGCTCCACTTCAAGGAAGGTATCTTTACATATAATTTAAGTGAGTCTTGGGTTTAAGAGCAGAATATAAATCCTTAATTTAGTAGGAAAAATATTTTTATGGTTATGTGCAGTACACCTTTACTACCTGCCAAAGAGCCAAACATTTTTCTTCCTTACTTCTTCCTATCTCTCCTTCATCTGCTTTGGAGATAAAAGTGGCATTGATCAATTTCCAGTCATCTTATTTAAATCTAGAATACTTCCTCAAAAGAGGAGACAAAAAGGAAATTACTTGTTCTGGTTTAGTTGGTAAAATACTTGTTAATGCTAGAAGTTATAATTCCTTTTTTTTTTCAAGTTTTTTTTGTTTTTGTTTTTGTTTTTTTAAAGATTTTATTTATTTATTTGGCAGACAGAGATCACAAGTAGGCAGAGAGGCAGGCAGAGAGAGAGGAGGAAGCAGGCTCCCTGCTGTGCAGAGAGCCTGATGTGGGGCTTGATTCCAGGACCCTGGGATCATGACCTGAGCCGAAGGCAGAAGCTTTAACCACTGAGCCACCCAGCTGCCCCTATCATTTCTTTTTTTTTAAAGACTTTATTTGTTTGTTTGTTTTAAATATTTTATTTCTTTATTTGAGAGACAGAGAGAGCACTGAGTAGGGAGGAGGAGTAGAGGTAGAGAGAGAAGCAGACTCCTCACTGAGCAGGGAGCCTAACGTGGGGCTCAATTTCAGGAACACAGGATCATGACAGGAGCCAAAAGTAGACAATTAATCAACTGAGCCAGGTGTCCCAAAAGACTTCTTTGTTTTAGAGAAGGAGATAGAGAGCGAGACTGCACTCATGAGTGGGGGGAGGAGCAGAGGCCAGAAAGAGGCAGAAAAACAGACTCCCCACAGAGTGCAGAGCCTGATGCAGGTCTCTATCCCAGAACTGTGAGATCATGACCTGACCCAAAACCAAGGTCCCAGACTTAACTGACTCAGCCACCCAAGTGCCCCTATAAGTTATAATATCAAAGTTATAAACTGACAAATTCAGTAAATGTGGTGCTAAATTTTTGTATAATAATAGCTAAGAGTTGCTGATTATGAACTATGTTCCAAGCAATGTGGTAAGTCTTTTATATGTATAATTGCATTTAGTTCCCTCAACATAATACCAAGTTGTAGGTAATATAACCATTTTACAGAATAGGAAACCTCATCTCAGGTGGATTAAAGTTACCATGACATAGCTTGTAAATTGCAGGATCCAAACATAACGGTTTATCCAACTTCAAAGCTGTAACTCTAAACTACTCATTTTCTTATACCTATTTTAAACTCCCCAGATTGACCATCACATTAATTTGCTGTATTATTATTAATTATAATCATGACTCTTCATTCAACAGATAATTACTAAGTGGCAGTTTTGTGCTACTCTGGAAGAAAAGCAAATTAAATCCTGTACAACCCTCAGAGTCACAAAAAATGGAAAAAGATAGAGAGATGAGCACACTATAATTTCAAAACCTACTAGCCAAGCAGTACTACCCACATTGCACCCTGACTGTTGATATACATGATCACCAACGGCGCTCACAATGTGAGAGAAATGCCCTCTTTCCTTTGTGCGGCAGCATGGTGGTTTTTAAGCAGCTAAGAGCCTCTAGATCGAGGCTGTTGGCGTACAAATGCCAGTCTTGCTGATTGTAGCTCTATTTCCTTGGGAAAGTCCTGTGTTGGTGTATCTCCAGCTGTGAAAGAAAGAAGTAAAAGCAGCCCTTGATCTTGGGGGTGCCTAGATGGCTCAGTCGGTTAAGCATCTGCATTTGGCTCAGGTCATAATCTCAGGGTCATGGGATCCTGGAGCCCTGCGTCTGGCTCCCTACTCAGCGGGGAGTATGCTTCTCCCTCTCACTCTGCCCCTCCTCCCTGCTTCTGCTCTCTCTCTCTCTTAAATGAATAAATAAAATCTTAAAAAAAAAAAAAAAAGCAGCAGCGACTTTACAGGGGGTGTTGTGAGGGTCATTAAGTCTACTGCTTAGAACAGCCCTGGGCAAGGAAGTGTTAGCCATTATTGATTGATGTGAATGTTCAGACCTACTCATTTTCTAATCAGTATTCTCGAGTTTTGATTCTTCCCTCAACTACTTGGGTAGTACTTGGGTCCCACTAAACTTTGTCCTATTTATTTATTATTTTTGGTTGGGGAGGGCTACTCATTTTCTCACACTCTAGCCATTTCTACCCTTTCCTAGAAAATCATACCCATTTTTTCTTATATTATCATTCAATTTTTTTTTTTTAAGAGAAACAGTGAGCAAGCAGGAAGGGGGGTGGACATAGGGAGAGGAAGAGAGGAGAAAGAATCTTAAGTAGGCTCCATGTGGGGCTCGATCTCATGACCCTGAGATCAAGAACTGAGCCAAAATCAAGAGTCAGACACTTAACTGACTGAGCCACACAGGCACTCCTATTCTTACTCAATTTCAGAGCCTCAGTCCTCTTCCTTATGTTCTGCAAGGCTACCATCCTGACTGCCAAACAGGATGGCTATCAGTCAGAATAGTAAATCTTTTGGAAGATAGAATAAAGCCAGAGGGTTGATTATATGAGGACATAAACTTCCTGGGCATATTTGCTCAACTCCTTTGTAACAGGTCGTGCTAAAACACTTTTGCTTGTCAGTACCACATCTAGGTAACAGAGTTGATACCCATGGAAAGAGAAAGTGTTTCTTCTTTATTTTTCAACTTGCTATAGAAAATGTTGAAGAATATGAGGTCCAGGAAAGATCCCTGTATAATACAATAGGAAAACTAAAGTTGCCACCGATCGTGATACCCGGATTTAGAAGAGCACCTGACCCTTCCTCATTTTTAAATACTGTTAATATGAGTTGTGGTTTCTGTACCTGGGTAGACATCAGAATCACCTGGTATGCTTGTTAAAGACACAGATTATTCCTTGCTTTCCACCTCTCCCACCCTCCTTCTCACCTCCATCTCTAATAACCTGATGCATTAACTTAGAAGTAAGGCCTTGGGATCTGTTATTTTTCATAGCTCTGGGAATCAGTGTCCAAGATTATTTATACATGTATTCGTGAGACATAGACTTGATAATTTAGTAATAATAAAACTCTTATTTTTCTAAACTGACATTGAAAATGATCTTATTTGAAAAGAAGATCCAATTTCACTTAACAGCCTGCTTTTTTGAGTTCTGATGAAATCAGATGGAGAGAAAGGGTTAAGAGTAATCAGTCATTTTTAGCTTATTAGACTTAAAGGATCAGAATTTTTAAGTTGGAAGAGATACTAAACATAAACTCAAATTTCTTCATTTTGCAGACAGGGAAGCCATTCCTTCTGCATAATGGAAGCCTGATGAGAACACTGAGCTCCATAGACATTATGACCTCCCAAAGCAATATGGTTAACTAGAACAAAATTCTTGATTTCCAAAATACTTGATGGTTCCTTTATTTCTTTCATAATCACCCAAGTGGATTGGATCTGCTTCTCCCTTTTCTAATTTATTTTTTTTTAATTGAAGCACAGTCAACATATAATGTTACATCAGTTTCAAGTGACTTTTTTTTCTCATTTTATGGCATTTAAGCTAACCAAACTAAGTGGATTTTTTTTTTTTAACAAACAAACAAACAAACAAACATGGGAATAGTAACTATATGTAGCATCCTTCTCATCACATACCTCTTAGAACCACATTTTGAGAATTAAATGCAATCTTACCTTTAAGAGGCACCTTGACATCAAGGCCATAGAATAAAGGCAAGAGAGAAGAACAAGAATAGAAACAGAAACTGCAGAAGAAAAAGAAGAAGATTATGTAAATCTGAAAATTTCTGTACTGTCATTCATGTCGTACAAAACCTCAAGCTTTTCCACTTTGCTCAAGTCTGATCACTTGTCACATACACACCAAGTACCTTCTGTTTAAAAAAAAAAAAAAACTGTATGTTTTACTTATCTATTGACAAAATAATTCGATGAATAACCAGAGTCAACTAACATCAGCTCATACATCTTGGAATCCTGAGGGGGTCTAATAGATAATGGATTTAAGCTTGTAATTTTATAAATGAAAAACATAAGTACCGAAGAGTTAGTCAACAGTCTAATTGCCTGTAATGTTATAGCATAATAAAGCCTGGAGGTTAGCCCTCCCAAGTCCTACTTCAGTCCATACTACAGTCTACTTGTTAGTGTGTGGCAGGGTCTACCAAAAATACAAAAATATGACCAGAGCATACATTTATTCTTAAGGCTATCACTGTTTGGTTAATGTGACAGGTTTTAGGAGTAAGGCAGAGCAGGAAGAATATTAATATGTAAGGTAAAGATATGATAAATCATCTACCATGGGATACTTCTGAGGTAGAAATGGGGACACCATTAGTAATTACATCAGGGCAGCAGGCATAACCTGGGTGTGCCCTGGAGGAGTGAGGATCTATAGTATAAAACGGGCTTGCACATCAGAGGACACTTTGGAAAATGAATGCATGATACTGTTCGAACCTCTGTGCTTCTCAGATAGTTCTCTCCTTCTTGACTCAGAAGTTAAATGGAGTCTGATTTGTCTCTCTTCTCTGAGAACCTTCAAAAAGAAGCAGATACTTGGGGGGACAGACATGCTTATGTAGCAATGGAACATAACCAACTGCCTACTAATTATTATTAAAGGTCACAAGTCAGATCTTGTGTTTTTTTTTTCTTCTTATTCAAATATCAATTTCCTTGGTGATTACTCTTACAGAGTCTGTCTTTAACCTTGTTGTCACAATTCGGGAGCATTCTGTTGCCCACAACATCTTTGAATAAGGGTTGTCTATGGTTTTCTCATGTTGAGCACATTATCCACACGTGTCTTGTAATGCCCTTGTTTATAGGACTCTTGCTTCACTGTAGCAAAATTATATGGTCAAATTATAAATATGGTGCCAGGAGCCACGTATTGGTGACTTTTATTAGTCTGGGAAGCAGAAACTCTGTCCTTCTTTTTCAGTCCTTGAAGATGGAGAGTGGTAAAATGACACCCATAGCAGGAGAAGATGTAGGGAACGGGAGGCTTCCACTACTCCTCTGAGGAGGTCAGACACCGGCGCTACCTCTCAGGGCATCAGGAGATACCCATCACCTCATTGGCCATGAGATTCTTCATCCAGGCAGTGTGGTGGGCCGAGTGTAGCACCTAGAGTCAGACACCCTAACCTCTGGACTTGATTTGCCATGGACTGGTTATATGGTTCTAGGCCAGTTGTTTATCTCTCTGGGCTATTGTATTGTCTGCATAAAAGGGGATCCCAATATCTACTGTGCCCATCTCACAGAGTAACTCTGCATGGGAGTCAGTGAAGCCGATGACCCTGGGAGTGCTCGGGAGGAGGTAAAGCTGCACAGCTGAGGCAGTTCTGCTGTCTGTAGTTATCACGTGATGTATACTGCGTCCATGGAAATTAGGGACAAAGACAGGATATCTCAGGTCCCCTCACGAGGTGTTCAAGTATCCCAAGGAAAAGAAAGAGAGTATTTCTGGTAAGTGATCTTTCACATTTTCTCTAGGCTTGTGTGTATGAGAATGGAGGCAAAGGGAATAGAAAGTGTGTCACAAACCTCATCTCTCATTCAAAGCTCCAGTCAGAAACCAACCAGATTGTTTTGAAGTGGCTTAATTTACTATTATATGTGGAATATACTGCTTTGATAGCTGAAGAATCCTTGTTTGCCATCATGTACATTACCCTATTACCATAAATGGTTAAGAAGTTCAGATATGTGACACGACATGTTCAGGAAATTCTGACAGGGAACATAATCTTAACCTCTTGCCTCCTAAAATTTCCATGCAATTTATTAAGAAAATGCCTATGGGAGTGATATTAATAGATATATTAAAAACCCACCCCCCACTTGCAGTTTGTTTTTCCTTAGATGAATGGGGACTGAACCAAACTAAAGTTTCTGGTTTTAATTCTGACTTCCTCCTTCGGTCAGCACAGAAAATGACTAAAACCAGGAGCTTCAAAAATGTAGAAAATGAAGGACATCAGTCATGTGGTCTGACAAGCAGGGAAGCTGGGAACAACCCCTGTCTCTTGTGGGTCTTCCTGCCAAACCCTGGGAAGTCAGACTCAGTTCGCGACACTCTACCTTTGCCTCATTCAGTCTTACAGTGCTAAATAGCACATTCTGGAAATGAGAACCATTCAAATTTAAAATTTTGCAGAGGATGTGTACGTTATGTTTGGAAATTTATAAAATTATACTTTTTAATCAAACACTTTCAGAGTTTTGTCATTTTCACATAAGTAACTTCAATGGTTCTTCATGGAACCCATGAGAAAAGGTGAGGGCAAGCTTTATCATCCCTTATTTTATCGGTAAGGCTTAGACACAAGTCTAAGTCACATACCAAGGTCAAACAGCTATGGAAAGCCTACATAAGAATCCAGGTGCTTATGGTCTGGCTACTGGCCCTTACCGATTCCCTATGACCTCATATTTAGGGATAACTACAGAAGCAACCTTGATGAATAAAATCCTATAGATGGTTTTCTGTTTTCTTCTTGGGTGCCCACGGGAGATGCTAGAAAATAGCTGCATTCTTTTGCAATACAGGAATTCAGACTGGAACTCTAGAGAAAGCCTCCTGCCCTCCTTGCTGTGTTCCTAGCACTGGTGCTCCAGGCATCATGGGTGGGAGCATTCTTTGTTGTGTGAGACTGTTTACCTCACTGAAGCTTGCTTGGCACCCGTATGAACCCTCTTCCTTCTCCGGCCATGCACATTCTGAAATGCCCTTTTTAGGAACTACTATGCATTACCCCTGAAAGTGCTGGTTGACTTGGAGGACTCTTTCCAGCCATTGGGGGAAGTGACATGAGGACATAATTACCATGTGTCAGCCTAAGTTTCTGGACTTACTGTCAAGGGGACACTGCAGCTCAGGAAGAAAGGGCTTTTTTGTGAAGAATAACAATAATGTTTTTTTTTTTCCCCAAAACGGTACCAAAAATGATTTTTAAAAGAAAGAGCAAAGTAGTCATAAAACTCAAAATGAAGTTTTAGAAAGGAAATGAAGGTAAGAAAGGGGAAACTGAGTAAAGAAAACATGCGTAGAAAAGAACAGGAATCAACACAAAAGGCAAACATGTCCAGGCGAGGTTGCTGAAGGCAGAACCTTTGCTGCATTGTGGGCACCTGCCTGGCAGTGAGGGTCATACTGACTGTCACTACACCTGCCTGGGCATGACACACAGTAACTAAGAAGAAATGAAACACAATGAGTGAAACTCATATTATTTTCTGATCTAAAGCGTAAAGACTGAAATTCATATTGAACACGTACCTTTTCTTCTAAGTCCTTTATCTGTCGTTTCTGGATGTCTGTTTTATCTTCTAAGTCACGAATTCTCTGAAGAAAGAAAAAAAAACCCAAAGAGTTAGTGGGCATTAAGTTAAAAAGATAAGTTAACAAGAAGACTGTTCACCAACCTAAAACACAGAACTTGCTATGAAAACATTAACATTGGTACTCACAGCTGGAAACATCACAAATCCAGGAGACTGGATGTTTCAAAAATCACCCACACTTGTGGTGCAAAAGCTAATTATACATATTATACATATATTTTTAAAATTTGCTGCCCCTGTCTACTGCGTGCATCTCTCCAGACCCTATCCCTGTGAGGGACGGGTAGTTCACACCCCACTGCTCTTGGGCTTGGCCATGAGACCTGTTTGGCAGATGGCATGTGTGTAGGAGTGAGGTGTTGGAAGGCCCTTCCTCGTAGAGACAGCAGTATGTCCCAGAACTAGTGAGCAAGAAACCAACTTTGTCATGGTCATTTGGATTGGGATTTTTGGTTGTTTATTACCACAGTTAAAAATGGCTGAAGGTGAACACACAAATGCAAACAATCCCATTGTTTTTTGCTACTCTTTCTTTCCAACCTTATTTCAACTCTGCTTGAGGGTGGAATTTCATTACAAAACAGGATTTGCCAATTCTCATAAAACCAAGTAGAGATTATACTTCACTAAAAATTCCAAGGAGGGAAGTAATTAAATTAGGGGAAAACTAAACATAGTAAAAATAGCACAAGTAATCCTAAAGACAAAAATGTTAGTTCCGGAACTGTCTGTGAACTTACCTGTCAACTACATGATAAAATTCCAGTGATTTAAATAGCACAGATTTGAGACCAAGATTACACAATTATTTGCGAGTGAAAAATAGTCTTCCAATTTCGATCTGGCAATCCAAAAGGCCTTTTAGGTTTACAGCACATGGGTATACAGTGTCGGCTTGTTATTTTAATGCCTCTTTTGGGAATAATCAAAAAAATGGGGAATTGGAGTCTGAGAAGAAAACAGTGGAAACTAAATGCGGTGATAATATAGAAAGAGAGGTTTTTATAATGCAATGTGGGGAGAGAAAGGGAAAGCTAGAACACAGAATACTTGAACTTGGAAATCCTATCTCCCTTTTCTCTGAAACAGTGGTTCTCAATTGAGGATGACTCTGCCCCTCAGGGGACATTTGGCAATGTCTGGACATTTTTTAAAGTTAGTTAATTTAATCTGAAGTATACGATTCAGTGGCTTTAGAATTTCACAAAGTGGTGCGACCATCATCACTGTCTGACTGGACATTTTTGAATCACATGTGGTCACTAATCACATCTGGGATGAGGGGCAGAGCCCAGGATGATACATAGGACAGCCCCCTACCATAGTTATCTGACCAAATGCAGGGACTGAAGAGACTGAGGAGTCTGGTTTAAAGGGAAGGGGTTAAGGTGCATGCAGGAGTGGATGAGAAGTTTTGGTCAGAGAGACTATCAAGGCTGACCTTGAAATTAGAGGATAAATGAATGCTGGGTAAAGGAAGGGGCCTGGAAGCTAATGGTGTGGGTACATGGGAGTGATGTGTGTGCTTGTGTGTATTTCCAGGCACCAAAGCTACTCAATAAAACAATACATTTGCTAGCCATTTCCACCTCGAGTTTGCACATAATTCCTTGATATGTCTACTGGATGTGGAGGCAATATTCTATCAATAAAATCATGGGCCCGTGAGATTACTGCAGTGTCTCTTCAGCCATCAAATGTATGCTTGTTGGGCAACTTCCTCCATAGGACAAGACTTTGCTAGATGTAATGGAGAGTCCAGACACCAGTGAGTTCTTGATCTCAAAGAACCGTTCCAATCAAATGGGGAGATGAAGTTTGAAACACAAGGAAAACCAGCTCAAGTAGAAAAGATAAATGATGGCAAAACCATGTTTAACTTCATCACCAATCTCTAGTAACCAGGACACTGTTGAGTACAAAGAAGCTGTCTCTACATGTTGATGACATGAGTTATTTCTGTTAATGTGTGTTGCATGCTCTATTTCCTTTTCCTTTCCATCTGCTTGCCATCTAATCCAAGAGGGATCCCTGTCAGGTCCAAATCAGAACCCTTTTCTACCTGTCTTATCTGTACTGCTAATAAGTCCACCAAACCACTGTTATTGGCATCAGCACTGGTGTGACAGCTCACTGCCAGCCCTTCCTGTTTCTAATTTAGCACATCCATCTACAGCAGCTGTGTGTATTCCTGACATGTGAAATCATCAGGGTAGTCCCTGAGTTTAAGGGGGAGAGGAAGAGGAATAAGAATAAGAATAAGGGAGATGTAGCTAAACTACACTCAGAATATAAGCCCAACTATTTTAAGGTCCAACATGATTTAGCCTTGTCTTACCACTCCAACTTCACCTCATGACCACCCTCTTGGCTCTCTCTGCTCCATTTTTATGGCCTTCTCTCTGTTCCTCAAATATTCCAAATGTTCCCACAATAAATACTTAGACTCTGTTGTCCCTATCTTCAGGGACACTTTGCCAAGATCTTTGTGTGGCTGGTCCCTGGATTTTAGACATCTTTAGAGAGGCCTGGTCTGACTAGCCAATCTAAAGTGGCAAATCCTCTACTCCCAAATTTTTTCTCCACAGCACTCACGGACACTCTCTAAATTGCCTTGGTCATTGTTTTTTGTGTTGTTGCTTTAACTCCCTTCATCTGTAGGATAGATAGATGAGAACAGTGACCTTTATGTCTTTGTCCACCGTCACATTCCTAGTCTCTGGCACAAGCAGGCTCTCAATATGGTTGTGAAAGAGTGTGTAACAGGGTACGCAGGATAGATTTTTTTTTTTTTTAGAAGTATGCAGTCCATTATTATCAGGGAGAACACCCTAAGGGAAATAGATCTTAAACTGGGACTGGAAAAAATGAGAACATTTAGATACATGAAGCAGACATGGAAGGGCATTTTAGGAGTGATCAGGCAAACAAAGGCTTGGAGGTGGGAGTCATGGCCCAAGTAGTACCAGGAAGAGGTCTGCATGAGTAGAGAGAAAGGTACACTCTGCAGATTATCTCAGATCAGGTTTTCAGGGAAGGGGTAAGCCAGCTAATGAAGGACATGGAGAGATCTGCATAGGACCAGATTCAACTGGAAACTGGGATCATGGAGGCTTCTGAGGAAGAATGTACCATCAGAAAAGGTGAAAGAATCTGCAGGCATAATGAACTAAGGAGAGGAGAGCTGGAAGTCTTCCCCACAACTGGGTCCCCAAGGCACACTGCATATGGTTTTTTATGCCCCTTGTCAAGAGACATCAATTATAGTTATTTTTCTTTGAATTAGTTTCCTGTGACTCCATCAGTAGGTCCTCAGCTTTGTAAAGGCAGGGTCCATGCAAATTCTCTATGTCTGGCATGGTGTTCAAAGTCTAGTAAGTGCATTTAAACATCTGACTGAACAAATGCATAGATGATGGAATCGGGTTACATCAGAGGACATCTGGCTGAAGCTGGGCCTGCTGCAGTATTGAAAGGTCCTTTATATGCCTGGGGTTAAAAGTATGGACAAAATGCAACAGCTTCAAAAACACTTCAGGAGAGGGGTGCCTGGTGGCTCAGTGGGTTAAGCCTCTGCCTTCGGCTCAGGTCATGATCTCGGGGTCCTGAGATAGAGCCCCGCATCAGGCTCTCTGCTCGGCAGAGATCCTGCTTCCCACTCTCTATCTGCCTGCTTCTCTCCCTACTTGTGATCTCTCTCTCTCTCTGTCAAATAAATAAATAAAATATTAAAAAAAAAAACATTTCAGGAGAAATGCTAGATGGATGCAGTGCTATATTAACTATTAGAGATAAAGGACAAAGAAGACTCCAGGGTTTCCAGCCCGAGTGCTTCAGGAAATGGTAATTCTACTGACAAGGCAGGCAGATGGGGAAAGAAGGGAGCAGTAAGGATAAGAATGAATATTTAGCTCTGTTTCATGTGTGAAACATTCAAAGAGAAATGTCTAATGAATAGTTAAGAATATGCTCTAGGATTTAACTGGATCATACACTGATGTATGACAAATTCTGGCCAAGAACTTCTGGAATAATTCTCTCAAAACTACTGATTACAATGGCAGACAAAGAGTAAGAAATAATAACTAGAAAAGGCATTTTCTAGTGAACATTTGCTTGAGAGATAGAGAATTTCAATGGGAATCTGTGGGGCTTAGAAATATAACATACCTAACCGTTCAGACTGATAACTTAAAGCAAACAAAACCATGTCTTTCAGGAGTGGATCACCTTAGCTGGTTAAAGACTCAAAAGAGATGATAAGCTTTTAATCATAAACAAATTCAGTTAATAATTTGTACATCTTAAAAATAAACACTGCTGTGGCTCCACAGCACAACTTCTGATTTGTTGAAATTAATTAAATGCTATTGTAGCCCAAGAAATTTATGCAGAAGACATTTTCATTCCCCAACGAATGATGCCAGGGAGTCTATTATTAAAGGATTTGAAAACTCTTTCCAGGGTCAAAAAAATCAAAAAAGTTTACGATGGAATCTGAAGGGCCAATGAAACAATCGTGCGTGCGCTGACCATCTCCAGGACAAATGGCTGCTGAGTTCCCCTGTTACCTTGGATAGTCTGTCCGACTATAAAGATTCACAGAACCCCTGGCCACATAGTAGGTATGTTAAGTGTCATGTTCCCCGTAAACTGTTCTTACTGGTGTCATAAAATAACCTGCTCTTTGCCCACTCACCTTGAACTCTGAAGACCACACGATTCTTACTTCTTCCATAGTCCATCTGGATTTTGTACCAGTTCCTTGTCTCAGCTTCTGAGTACCCAACACGACAGCCTGCCACTGTCAATTTTGGGATTCTTTTGGAATCTGCTTTTTGACCAGGGCCCTAGTCCTCATCTGTCAAGCTAAGACATGAACTGAGAGTTGGAATTAAGAATTTTGGCTATAAATTGAGTGTTCTTGAGTCTTGCTGGTCTCGATGAGTCCCATAAATCAGAGATAATTCAGGTTGTGTATGACAGTGTAGTGCAGTGGTCAGATGCATAGGTCTTGAGTCATGCCCACCTGAAGGGTCATGCTGGCTCTGGAGCTTGCTATTTGGGTCATCTTGGGCAAAATTAAGCTCTCTTATCATCAGTATCATTATCTCTCCAATTGGGATCATAAGAATACTTACCTTAGTGAGCTACTGTTAAGATTAAATACAAGGATGCAAGTTTAGTTCTTGACATAGCAAAAGCCAGTAAGTAAGCAGCAGCTTCCAGACATTGTTGGTGTTGCTATTTGTTCTGGGAATAAAGGAAAGGGCCCTTGTTCTCTTTTACCCTATTCAGATAATTGGATCAGGCTAGGGTCTGGACTGGGATGAGTAATAGGACAGTGGCATTAGTTCTGTCCTGAGGAGACTCTTGCTTCCCTGCATAAGGGAGCTAATCAGGCTCCAGGATACTGAAAGTGTATTTCATGACAAAATAGTTCCCAAAATAGCAGCAGTATGCAATGCTTCCAAAATGCCAATTTCCTTGAGACTGAATCTTTACAAAACTATCTTCCTCTCTCTGAGCCTAGGTGGAAAACAATAATTATTTGCCTCTCTGAAAATAGTTTATATCTCCTCGGCTTCTCCACACCCATACTCAGTACCATGTGCTTAGTACTAAGTCCCATTTGCTTAGTACCAACCCTACACAGATGCAGTCACTCAGTCCTCACCTGATGGGCTTGCTGTAAGAGCTCCATTCTCTCCTGAAGAATCTGACAGTCATACTCTCTGCTCTTCCTCAGCATCTGCCGCCGTAACTTTTCTACTGCTGTCCTCAGCTCCTCTTGCTGTTTTTCACTTAACAATTCACCAAACTTGATAACAGTTTCTTGCTGCAGAGCATTGTACAAAGTAGCTTCTAGCTCCTGGATTCTCTGGCAAACAGAATTAGAAAAGTCTAACTTTGGAACTTACATTGATGTGTGTCAGGTGAACGGAGACGCTTGTGTGTATGGTGGTGGGGGAGTCACACATTGTCGTAGTCATACAGGATCATAGCAATATGATAAACTTCAGAGCTTGTCCAGCCTGACTACCATTTTGTTAATCCCCTTTGTAGGATTCCCTAAAAGCCATCTAGTTAACAATACGTGAACTTCTCTGATGGGGAATTTGTTCTTTTTCCTGGGATCCTGTCCATTTCATTTAGAGGAAGTTCTTACTATACTAAGAGAACTGTCTATCCTTTTGTTCCCAAGTGTAGCTGAGAATAAGTTTGTTCCCTTTCATTTGACAGTCCTTCAGATATTTAGACATCTATCATGGTGGCTGTACTTTTAGAAATAAGCATTGAAAAGTGGCCTAAGTTGGAATACTTGAAACTGGAGATACATTTCATGCATAAAAGGCCACCTCTCTACCACACAACACATCTATGAAATTGAAGATGGCTGTACAGTCTCCACATCTTAAAATACAAATTGAAAGATATGATCTAAAAATGGCCTAGAGTCTTCAAAATTGGTCTTTTTTTTTAAATACTCTGAGATATACAGCTGCTTTAGCTATAAAATGCCTCCTTGAGTATTCTCTGTTTTAGGTGAAGTGTTTATTGCTCCTTATATCCTGGTTATTTTTTTAACATGCCTCAGATATAGGAGCACAGACCTATAGTCTTACCCCGTGACTTTGACAGAGGTGGATGGTCATGCCTCGGTAAGGGGTGTTTTCCTAGCTCTTGTGCTGGACTAAGCAGATCTCATCTTTTTAACATTAAATGTGGTTGTCTGAATGAGTACTCAGTCACGGGACACACAAACACACAACGGAACCCTATAATGTACAGGTGGAGGAGGCACGGATAAAAGGGTAAGAAGGGAGGGGGAAAGTGCTTCCTTTTTCATTCTCCAGGGATCAACTCTCATTTTCTCTTTTCCCCATCAAGTGGTGCTCAGAATCTCTTACTCATTTTGGAAGGGAAGACTAATTCATCTTTGTTACAAGCTAAGTGCTTCACTCTTATCCCCAAAGTGACTCAGGCTGCTTCCAGGAAAGCATTATAAAAACCTCTACTAGCAACTCCTTGAAATGTTCCTCTTTTAAGTTTGGTCTTTTTCTCCTGAGTCATAACTGTGAATTAATGGTGGGGTGGGGGCTTAGAAGACACACAAGCTGTAGTTCAATATTAGCAATTATGGATTACGAATTTGGTACGGGGAATGAACCAAATGTGCTCCTCAGTCAGCACAACGTTCAGTAGGAGAGAAAAAGGCACAGCCCATTCACCAAAGAGCCTTCCATACTGTGGCTGGATTATGGTAGTGAAGGCCACACCAGCATTACCCACTTGCTTTGTCAGGCAAAGTTCTTTCACTCTCCAAGCCTTCATTCTCTCCTATGTCATATAGGAATAATCAGATTACCCATACTTCGCAGACTTGTTGGGAGAAACATGTGAAGTAAAAATGTATATAGCAGACATTAAAGACTCTATCATTCTATCACTACATTAGGCTCCCAAACAATTGGATTTAATAAAATTTCTCTTTAATCCACAGTACCACCCAATCTGTCCTTCATTAAAGCATTTTATAACATACACTTAATTTTTTTTAAATGAAGCATAATTAAATACTTACTAAGTTTTTTAAGATTATTATAATAGGAAAGTGGTAGGGAAGTATTTGTTCTAAAACCGGAACTGGAAGCCACTGAATGAATGAGCTTCATGTCATGGTCTATCCAAGCACTTGGTGTGACAAGTGAATCAGGATGCTTTAATCCACAGTAGAGAACTGTGAACACGCTGGGTGTCTTTAGTGCTTGCTGTACCTACCATATATGCTTGGTCAAGAGCTTGTTTTCTGTAGTCTAGTTCTTCCTCTAGATAGCCTTTTATTTTGCAGAACTGTTCCTATAAGAAGGGGGCCATAATGAGAAATAGAAAGAGTCAATTGAGTTTACTAGGAAGTGATAAATTGTACTGATTAATATAAATTGTACTGATTAATTTTTCTCAAATTTCAACATAAGTCAAGTCATTAGCATTTGCAGGGTCAAAGATATTGTCTGTTAGGGAAATGGGAAATAGTTCAGTTTTCATAGCCTCACACAGGGAATGTGAAAATCAGTGGAAAGACGTATAAAAGACAGAATGACCAATCCACACGGAATGTTTTAAAGGATTTTTATGCCAGTCCAAGAGAGTACATGGTTAAGGACAGATCTGATTTTCACAAGGTAAGTTAGTAACTAGTAAGTGTATCTGTGCCAATATATTGGCAGGGTCTATTTTTGTAAGAATGTTTAGGAATGTAATATGCACAGTGTCATAATAAAACATAATAAAAATTATTCAAAATTATTTGTGTATAATTAGCAAACACAAAGATTGATAATGATTTAGAGAATAACTTAAGAGAGAGCTTCTGCTCCTGCCACAAAACTCGGACAAGCTGGGACTTCAACCTAAATTTCCCCTGCTTGTCCTCCGTTTCCACATGCATGCTCTCACATTGCTAGCATCTTGCCATTAGCATTTAAAAATAAATCTTTGTGTATGATGTAGCCGCAAAGTACAGTCAATTCTTTCCTTGTGTGCTTAACTGAAGGAATAAGGACATCTTCCAACACTGGAGGAAAACTTGACTGAATCCACTTTGGAGAGACCGTCTGCATGCGGCAGTTGTGCTGGTGACTTTTCTGATTACCTCTGAGCTCCAGAGCCTAGAACAGTGCCCAGTACAGGCTGACTGGGTAATTAATAATTTGTATATCTGAAGAGTTTTCAAGGTTCTTGGGTTGTTGTTGTTTTTGTGTTTTTAAGGATTTACAGTTCTTGTCACATGCTTTGACTTTAGAGTCTAACCTTTTGGCAAAATAGAAAGTCCATGTAAAAGATAGCAAAAGATGTGTAAGTTGTCACATACTATATAAATACAAGTCGTCCTTATTATAGGATTCCCTAATCTGATAGGAATCACTACCTGGTTTTTAGTGTAATAACACTAATGACAGTACAGTTATAAAATTCTAATGTATTCCTATAAGTTATAATCAATAATTCTTGTGCTTGGGAACTTAAAAAAATTTTAATTGTAGTAAAAGACACACAACATAAATTTTATGCTCTTAACCATTTTTAAGTGTACAGTTCAGTAGTGTTAAGGATATTTACATTGTTAAGGAGCTAATCTCCAAAATGCATTTCATTTTGCAAAACTGAAACTATACCCATTAAACAATAACAACACCCCAAGTTCTCTTCCTTTTAGCCCAACAGCCATTGTCCCTACTTTCTAGGAGTTTACTACTCTGAATACTGACGTAAGTGGAATCATCCAGTGTTTGTCTTTTTCTGACTGGCTTATTTCACTTAGTATTATGCCCCTGAGGTTCATCCATGTTATATCATACAATTTCCTTCCTTTTTAAAGCTTGAATAATATTCACTGTATATACAGACCACATTTTGCTATCCATTCATCTGCTGATAGACACTTAGGCTGCTTCCATGTTTAAGCTATTGTGAATAATGCTGCTTTGAACATGGCTGTACTTTTTGAGACTCTATCTTTAATAAATTTGGGCATATACCCAAACATGGAATTGCTGGACTGGATGGTAATTCTATTTATTTTTTCAGCAACCACCATAGTATTTTCCTTAGCAGCCACACACCATTTCACAATCCTACCACCAATGCACAGGTTCCAATTTCTCCACATGCCCACCAACATTTATCTTGTTTTTTGATAGTGGCCATCCTAATGGGCATGAGATGGAGACTGTTAAAATCAGAGTTACACCCATCATTTCTGTAATTTTTACTATGACTCTATATGGTGGAAAAACTATTTAGCCTAAGGAAAAAAAAACATTTAACTGAATTTTTCTTCAGTATTAGTTTACAGAAATATTATAAAAATACAACGTACTTTTGAAGAATATAACTTGAAATTATGGGATACTTCCAGGAATTCTGTTCCATAGTTTGTACACAAAATACTGGGAAGCTGCAAACTTGCTTTTCAGTGCCAGATAAAACTGGTAGAAAATAGTTGTTTTCCATTTGCCTTGTCAATTTTTCTTTGTTTTTCTGATACCTCATCTTTGTACTCACCATGTCACTTTCCAATTCCATCATTTTCTGGTGTAGGGCAGCCTCTGCTCCTTCAATTTGCTGGATCCACTAAGGAGTAAACAAGACAGAAAAGTCTGAAACGATTGCTTGATATGGTGTATATCGTGCAGTCTACTGAGTTGCTTTGTTTATTCTTGTATCTCAGAAGCAGAGGAGAACTAAAGTGAAAACTTGGTGCATTTTATGTCTTAGGTCAGGAAATAATCATACATTCATTCATTTGTTCGTTCGTTGCATTCATGGATGTCTACCATGTGTCAGGTACTGCATTACATACTAAGGTTTTGATGGTGAATAAGATCAACATGATTTTTTTTTTTTTTTTTTTTTGGCCTTCCTTAGAGAATATCATAGGAGGCTTTCTTGGAAGTGACAACTGCAACAGAGTCTGATGAATCTGAGTCAGAGATGATTAGGCAAAAATGATGGGACGGTTTCAAGCAGAAGAGATATCCAATTCTCCATGGTTGGGGGAAACATGATAGAAGAAAGAAGGCCAGGTGAGATTGGAGAAATGGCAGTTTTTCAGTGTATGAAGCTGCCAACAGCTAAGTGTTGAAGAATCATTTTTGTTGAGTAGAGACATTTTATTTATTTATTTATTTATTTATTTATTTTTAAAGATTTTATTTATTTATTTGACAGAGATCACAAGTAGGCAGAGAGGCAGGCAGAGAGAGAGAGGAGGAAGCAAGCTCCCTGTAGAGACATTTTAAATCACATAAAAAAAAAAAAAACACCTTTCATAATACTTAGAATATATCATCCTGGTAAATGGCACTGATGTTAACACTGATTAGCACCCTGAGTTAAAGTAGATCTTGAATAACATGACATGAGCTTACCAAATATTTGGTTTCATAGAACAAATTATTATAATGGGTCTCTCCTAAGTTAAATATCAGCTTATCCCTCAGGGAGGCAGCTGGGCATTATAATCGTGGGGGTTCTAAAGGCATATTACCTTGGGTCTAATCCCAATTCAAGTTTTTCATGGCTGTGCAGCCTTGAAAGGTTGTCTGATTTCTCTAAGCCTCAACTTTCTTTCCTATAAAATAGGTTAATAATTTGAGGATTAAAGGATACAATTAATGTAAGGCACTATTCACAGTGTATTGAATATACTGGGTACCCAATAAATTCTAGTTTGGGGTTACAATGTATTTTTGTACTTCTACACTGTTAGAAATTTGCCTTACTATTAGAAACTTCTCTTTTAGTTTATCTGTGATAAATCATGTGGTACACTGAGCATTTTTTCTATATACCAAGGCCTTGATATTCACAAGGTGACACCATGTCTGACAGCCTCTTAGGCGAAAGAAATGCCCAGGGAGACTGGAGGGGATACAGTCTGAGTTCTTGTACATGCACGTGGCTTCCCCCTGAAGCAAATTTCCATCAAAAGTCATGGGTAAATAGCCTCATAATGCAACTGTATACCATCGATTTTTATCAAAATGCTGCCCATTTGTTATTGAGAAACAAATTCTCTTGTAAACAGTGTTTTTAAGAGTAAAGTAAACTGAAGCAGTTCGGTCATGGGCTTTAGATACACATTTGTGTGTTGACTCGAAGCCCTTATTACTTGTGATGCAGGAGAAGTTCGTGAAGCCCACATCTCAATGTCCTCATGTGGAGAATGCAAACAGTGGATGAATATAGGACAGCTGTAAACAACAATGAGATCTGTGTAGTACCTGGCTCATAACATGTTTTCACTATGGTCACTGTTCTTACTATTTTTTTAAAGATTTTATTTATTTATTTGACAGGGAGAGAGACAGGGAGAGAACAAGCATGTGGAGCAAGAGAGCGAGAAGCAGGCTCCCCACTGAACAGCGACCTTGACTCAGGGCTCGATGCCAGGACCCTGGGATCATTACCTGAGCTGAAGGCAGCAGCTTAACTGACTGAGCCACCCAGGTGCCCCTCTTGCTATTTTTTTCTGAGAGAGAGAGACAGCGAGCGAGCACAGGCAGGGGGAGGGACAGAGTGGGAGGGAGAGAGAATTTCAAGCCAACTCCCTGCTGAGTGTGGTTCCTGATATGGGGCTCGATCCCCTGACCCTGAGATCATGATCTGAGCCAAAATCAAGCATCATACACTCAACCAATTGAGCCACCCAGGCGTCCCTGCTCTTACTATTTTTAATATAAAGTCACAAGACTTGGTGGACATTTGTCTAGTTCAATCTCTGATTATATTATATATATCTGAGATTATATATATAATCTCTGATTATAATCTATATATAGATTATATTCCTAGGCAGCCGAATGCTATTCAAAGTTGCAGGATCAGAAACTTCAAGATTCACATTTAGAACTCCTGGGAGGGGCGCCTGGGTGGCTCAGTGGGTTAAAGCCTCTGCCTTCGGCTCAGGTCACGATCCCAGGGTCCTGGGATCGAGCCCCACATCGGGCTCTCTACTCAGAAGGGAGCCTACTTCCTCCTCTCTCTCTGACTGTCTCTCTGCCTACTTGTGATCTCTGTATGTCAAATAAATAAATAAAATCTTAAAAAAAAAAAAAAAGAACTCCTGGGAGATAGAAATATTCATCTGTGATTCCCAAAGGTAAGAAGGTGACTTTGAAACTTGTGAATTGTGAAGATCTGCACAGAAGGTAACTGCCCAGACTATAGGAGCACTAGTTCTTCCACTTAAATCTTCAGTGCTAAGCACACTGTCATCCCTCCGTACATGTTCAACTGAACCCCTCATACCTGTCTTGCAAAGGAGGTGAGTGGAGGCACGAACTAATTCACCAAAGCTATAAAAGAGAAGGTCCTATGGGCTCCACATAGGGCACCTCTTGCTTTCAATAAGATGCTTAAAGGGAATTTGGGTGCAGTGGTTAAGAAGATCATGGACTCTGCAAACAGACTGTTTGAGTATGAATCCTGATTCCACCATTTTCTAGCTGCGTGACTGGGGCAGTTACCTACCTACCTTCTCTGTGCTTTGGATTCCTTACATATGAAATTCCTCGCATAGAACAATCATACCAAGACTTTGGCAATTAGAACAGTGCCAACTGCAAAAGAAGCCCTATGCAAGTGTTAATTATGGTCAAGTTCAAGTTGCACCACCCATCACAAAGGGCAGGGAATGGAAGATTTCTTCCAATAATTTAAGTAAATGTGAGGCACAGAGACCCATTTCCCTTTTCTTTTTCCTATTTATATTTTCTTTTCCATTTACCTCTCATTTCCTTCATGTCCGAATCCTTGCCTTTTACAGAAAGGCAAATTTTCTTGGTATTACCAAACTAAGGAGACTTTTCTAGCAATAAAGAATTCTGGTCCTTTAGGAGTCCAACTGAATGAGACACTCTGGCTTTCGCTGCCAAGTAAACGTAGCAGACCTGGGAATACAGACTGTGTTTTCTTCATCCAACTGGATGTCACTGGAACACTGTCCTGTGGACATTCATAGTCACTTGTTCACTCCTTCAGTAAACATTTGTTGACCACCTCTTAGATGTGCTCGACTGTTGCGAAAAGCTAGGCAAACAAATATGGATTTCATATTTGCCCTCATGGAGCTTAAAGTCTAGTAGTATGTGGTTGGGGGGCATATAACAACAGCAGAAAATGAGCAGCCACGTTATAGTTGTTAAAAGTCATAGTAGCAGATGCGTAGTTCACTGTGGAAACAGAGAAAAAAGCCCCTAACTGGACTTGGGTGAATAAGAAGGCTTCCCTATGTTGGGGATGTCTAATGGTTCAGATTTAGCCAGACCAAGGTAGAAAAGGAAGATGGGAATATCTTCTAAGCAAAGAGAACAGTGTAAAGAGCCAAGGGATGGAAACAGTGATAGAGATGGAGAGAGACAGAGAGAGAAGATTGGGGTCCCAGAAGGATTTGTATATGGCTGGACCTTAGCTATGAACCAAAGAAACAAGTGGAATCCTGGAGAAGCAGCTAAGGGCCAGATCCTCGAGGTCCTCATGGCAAGTTCTGGATTCTAGACCTTAAGTTAGAGATAATGTGGTGCTATTAATTTTTTGTGGAGAGGGAAAGTGATAGGTCTGTAATTAAATCATAAAGAAGTAAGTTTTTTACAAAGCAAATTCCAGATACCATTTCACAGGTAAATACCTCAGTATATATCCCTAACAGATAGGCCTTTAAAAAAAAAATCCTTAATTCAAAGACCATTTTTATACCTTGCAAAATGAACATGAACTCCTTTTGTTATCTCATTTCTGGTCCTATTAAAATCTCCCCAGCTGTCAGCAAAATGTTCTTTTCTCCGCACTTAGTGTCCTTGAGTCGGGATCCAAAAAAGGATCTTTTCAATATTTCTTAAGTCACTTTTTATTTTATAGCAGTCCTTGCCTCTCCCTACATTTTTTTCCCTTTATGTCATGGTATGTCAATAGGTCATTTGACCTGGAGGATTCCCTCACTTCAGACTAGAGAAGGCAGATCAGCTTGTTTATGGTTTCATTTAATTTATAACAAACTCTACGCATTTAGGAATTAAGAAAGCATCTCAAGGAATTTATACAGTTGTCACTGTACCCAACCAGGTACACAAGCCTCTCAGATATGTGCTGATTCTTGCTGCACCCTGAACACAGCCGTCATCAAGCTTCTCCACTTGGCTCTTTGTCTTTCTTCCTACCATTTACCAGGTTTCGACACAAGGGGGCCAGAGCACACTCAGCGTTGCTCTTCTGCCAGTCCGCAGGTTGGGCTTTCTGAATGAGAGTGCAGTGAGCCAACACTGAATTACAGAATCACTTGGGGACAACTGGTCTGTACAAAGCCAGGGAAGAGCGCATAACAAGAGTCAGGCACCATTTTACCATCTCTTGACAAAACTCTTCCTTACTGCTGTCCCAGTTTGGGAGCGACTGTTTGGATAAGGTAATCCAGAAAGTTTTCCATTTTTAAAGTGACTACAAAGCAAGGATTATCCACCCACCCCAGATCAGTGTGTAGAATTTTTGTGTGTGTGTTTCCATTCTATTGGGGTTGTATCACCCTGAAAAAAAAAGGATACTTATTAGGTATTCAGTAACACAAAGTCCTGTGCAAAGAGACCATCCTTCAACCCTACCCTGCTCTTTAGGTGTGAAGTCAGACATTGAGATGATTTGAATGTTAGTTTGATGTATTACCTTTTCTGCCAGGGACAGCACAGTGCTGGCCTGAATTATGGCCACTTGTTCTTCATTTCTTAAGTTCTGCCAAAAGAGAGAGAGAAATAAAGGAAAGAGGCTGAGGATAGTTACGATAATTTGCACTATCCGAACATACTGCCTAACTGCTTGCCATAGATACTACCACATATGCATGTATGGAACATAACATTCTACTTAGTAATAATTCTCAACAAAAAGTTCATTCAAAACATGTAAAAGGACATTAAATGTGATTTCTTTTATATCTCTAATACTGATTTGACTTTGTGTTTCACTGCGTGCATACTTAGCTAATAGGTTATGAGAAAAGCAGAAACCAAAATGAAATAACAAGTAATCTTTTCATAGTGGTTTGATATGACTTAATGGATTCTGTTCTCTCCTTTGATGATTTTTCAAGGTAAAAAATGGGTAACTCCTTCAACCTATATGCATCATTCCTATAATATCTCAATGAATGGTCCTCCCACTGAATTAATTTGCCTTGACCCTGCCTGGAAGGTGTTTTTAGAAAGAAAAGAGATTATAGTTTCCTGGTCCATTTTTATGGGGCTGCCACCAACCCTACTATTTAGCAGCATTTGCAACTGCATGACTGATTAATTTCATGCTAGATGGCTCCAGGCAACAGTGAGAAGGTAATTAGCTTTAATCACCGCAGATGTGGTCGGCATTCAAACGTGAAACCAGCCCATGAAAAGCACTTCACCAGTTCCCATTTCTGCCACTGCCTTCCGGAGAGCCTTACAACCCCTCAAAGACTTGTTTGATAAATGATTGATTCTCTTCAAAGAGCTACAGCCTTAAGTGAACATGGCTTCTCACTTGCTATTATTTTACACATGATGCCCTGGCAAGTATTTCTTGCTTCTCTTTGGGCAAATTCATATATTTACTGCCCTTAATCAATTCATTACTTACCCCATTATCACCCAGGATATCAAGCTGCTTTATGAGATCAGGGATGTTCACATCCTGCAATATCAAGGAATATATTCAAATCAAAGACATAAATGCGGCTTACTATTCTATCACTGCTTGACCTGTAACAATGAGAAGACATTTTAAGAACCATACTTCCTTGGGTTGTTTTCAATCAGGCACACATGGTTTTATGTTTTCACTCTGCTTCTTCCAAGCTGCGTGAACCTGGCAAATAACTTAACAGTTCGTTCTCAATTTCACCAGTTCCAAAATACCTCCTTCATAGGCTGATTTTGAGGATAAAGAGATGGTATGTGAAAGAGTCTAGGATATAGTACAAACTTGGAATTCTTTCATTAAATTTTTTTCTTATTAATTGCCAATTTTTTTGAACTATGATAAATTGTAGGTAGAGAGAAAAGTAACAGGTAATAAATAAAATCAACTAATTTCATTCTAATTAATGGAATTCTGACCTAGTTGAGATTTTGACTGCCACGTAGAAAACTACAGCGCATTCCATTTTTTAGCATTAATTTCATGCTATGGAAAATAGCTCATTTTAACTATATTTCTTGAGTCAGTTTGAAGCAGCTGAACTCTTTGAAAAAGTTCCCCTGCATATAAATTTCATCCACTAGAGTAGGTTGTTTGAGATTTATCTAAGAAAAGTATCTCAGGAAAAGACAAAGTAAAGTCCTTTTCATTTAATTAGAGCTGAATTAAAAAAAAAAAGCCAACAAACTCCTCTGTTTTACAAATTTTTGCGCAGTTGAGGAAGGACAGAAGTTTAAACAGCATGAAAAAGGTTTAGGACAGAAAACAAGGAAACGCAATTTTACTGCCTAATTTTCCTCCCACTTTTTACTTCATTAGTACGCCTCTCTCTTCTTACTCACATCCAGATAGCAGTCCATCCAACCCCTACCACCAGGAATGGGAAGGTCTACCTCAGTTTCACAGGTAAAGAGAAGGCAACAAAAGCAGGTATTATTTGGCAGCTCAAGTGGGAGCAGGAAGGGCCATGCACAAGGTCAAGGAGAGACCAGGAACAGCGGGAGGCTTCCCAGCTTTCCCTCCGGGATAGATATCCATCACGTGATTTCATTACATTGAAGGACAATATATTTTCCAGGAGATGGAGCCACCTCCATTCAACCTTAATGTTTAAAATGGATCCCAATATCCTTAAAGACAGAATTACATTTTATCTAAATGACCAGCATGTTATAAATCATAAGTCCCTCTAAAAGAAAAATCTTCCCTAAATTAAATGTAATCGAAAGAGATGGTGGACTTTAAGGTCTCTTCAAACATCAAAATTCCAAGCTTATGAATCCCATAGCACTTAGGACAGCATAACGAAGGGACTTGACAAATACTTTATCTGGTATACTTGAAATCTGTTTCTCAAAGTACTGAGTTTATTTAATATTTCCCCTAGATAACTAAGGGTAATTATTTTAATATTTTGAATCTGTATCTTCTTTACCCTGCTCTGTTCCTGTGTTCTCTGCTATCCCCGTTTATACATCTGTCACACATCTTTTTTTAACAAATTTTTAAAAATATTTATTTTAAGTAGGCTCCAATGCCCAACATGGTACTCAAACTCACAACCCTGAGTTCAAGGGTTTACTAACTGAGCCAGCCTGACGCCTAGATGCAACTCTTTTCAGTTGCTACATAGTTGGTATCAAAATAACACCCAGTGACTAAAAAACAAAAGTGATGAATAACCTCCCCTTTTCCAATTCCCAGTTTTTCTACTTTTTACAAACATAAAAAATTGAGTATCTGCCTACCTTGACACCTTCTTTCATACAGTAGATCTGTAGAGCACTCACACCATCAGAGAATGGGTGAATTTGTAGGTTAAATGGAGGAGATCGTCTCTCTCTTTCCTTGAAATACAGTGAAGAATATATGGGAATTAAAAAAAAAAAAAGGAACCACTGATCAAACACTAAATCAGTTGTGTGTGTTCTCTCTTTAATGCTATTTCAGTAGTTTATCAATGTCATGTGGCAAAAAAAAAAAAATCAAACTCAAGATGTTCATTCTTTAATTTAATGGAAAAGAACTGACTGATCAACTAAGAGATATAGTAGAAGAATTTATAGATGCTGTCGTTTAGTCTTGCAAATTTTTTGATCAGAGAAATGTCAGAAGTGAAGTTCTCATTTAAACTATATGAATATTTAGAGCTTTCAGGTGTCACAGAGAACGGTCTTTGACCCACTTAGTTCTATGGCTGCTAACGGCCTTTTTGCATATTCAATCCACTCAAGCTTTATGATGAAGATATGTGAGCTACTAAACAGCACTTTGCTCTTCCTCACTGAGGAAAACCAACTTTTAACTCTATCCAGATCTAATTTGAAAACAAAACAAAACAAAACAAAAAAACAACCCCCCCAAAAAACCCTCAAAAAGAAACTCCTGGCAAAATAAGAGAGCCATTCAATGGGAAATTTTCTTATCTTTATGTATCCATATACATTCAATGAGATTCTAAGCCAGGTTCTTTTTAAAAAAAATTTTAAGGGGCGCCTGGGTGGCTCAGTGGGTTAAAGCCTCTGCCTTCGGCTCAGGTCATGATCTCAGGGTCCTGGGATCGAGCCCCACATCCGGCTCTCTGCTCGGCTGGGAGCCTGCTTCCTCCTCTCTCTCTGCCTGCCTCTCTGCCTACTTGTGATCTCTGTCAAATGAATAAATACAATCTTAAAAAAAAATTAAGTAATCTCTACCTGCAATGTGGGGCTAGAACTCATGACCCCCCAGTCAAAAGTTGCACACTTTTCTGACTGAGCCAGCTAGGTGCTCCAAAGAAGTCAGGCTTTTTCATTTTTATTTTTTTTTAGAGAGGGAAAGCAGGGGGCAGAAAGAGAGATCTTAAGCAGGCTCCACGCCCACTGTGGAGCCCACCATGGGGTTTGATGTCAACCCTGAGATCATGACCCGAGCCAAAATCAAGAGTCAGACTCTTAACTGCCTAAGTCACCCAGGTGCCCGTTTTTTGTGTGTTTTTTGTTTTTTGTTTTTTTTTAAAGCAATCTCTACACCCAGAATGGGGCTTAGACTCATGACCCCGAGATCAAGAGTCACATGCTCTACTGACTGAGCCAGCCAGGTGCCCCCCAGGCCAGATTCTTTGTGATACAATAAAAATCTGATTTGATTGATATGTTTTACTAAAAAAAAAAAAAAAAAAAAAAAGACAAAAGAAAGACTGAAATTTGGTCAGGTTAACCAAGGTATTTCCTAAAACAAGTTACCTTGCTTCTTGGCCTTTTGCATAAATGTGTTATAGATTAAAAAAGTTTACTCACGAATTCAATGTGTAACAAAATATTTTTGTATATAGCACAATTGGAAATATAATTTTTGAGGTAACATTTTTATGAGTCACAATTCAATGAAGGATGGAAATGATTACTTTAAAAGCTGTGATATATCAATGAAGTTTGAAATCTATTATGTAAATTATTTAAAAATTATTCATTCTTGTTCTTGAAGACAATCGTGTCGAAAAGTACAGTATCTGAGCAGACAATTCTGACTTGCATCAGGTCTTGGGCAAGTTGTTCAATCTCAATTGCCTCATCTATAAAATCTCGATTATGGGTGTAAGGTAGAATGACAGTAGGCATCTGAAATGCTTAATTTAGCATCTCACACATAGGATGTGTTCAGTGCATGTTAATTGTTACGATTATTTTTATTATCATTATCATCATCATCATCATCATTTCCTTACTTCTAGCTCTAGGTTTCGAAACTCCAGCAGCTCATTCTGGTCTCGGGCATCCTGTAGTTCCTGTTGTAACCGGTGATTTTCTGCCTCCTGTTTTTCTATCTAATAAAGTAAATCCTCAAGTTAGGTGACCATTGCAAAAACCGTCTACAATTTAGCAAAGCAAGCATGGAGAGCACTCATTTAGTTGGTGAATAAATCATCCAGACCATGAAATAAAAAATCCCAAGTAAATGTGAATAAAATAAGTCTTAGGGTTTCCCTCTAGTTATCCTTTGATTGACTTTTTGCATCATAGGGGAAAATGCCATAAGACACCTGCATTCATTGAGATAATGTCTGGGGACCCTCTGAGTAGTGAATCTGAGAGTACTAATTAGGCCTTTGCTGTGGGTCAGGGATGGTGTCCTGGCACTACATTTAATGGTGTACATAGTGGAGACCGATACCTCTTGTTTTTGAGTTACAAATGGTCAGAAAAATTTCATATAAATAGCTCTGATCATATATAAAACTTTACTGAGTTCCAGTTACCTACAGAATAAAGCTAAACTCATCAATATGGAATTCAAAAATCTTTATACTCTGGTCAGCACCTAGCTCTCTAGCCTTAAATATTCTCACTATCATCTCTGTACCCACACACACTCACATGTGATCACACGCACACAAGAATCGAGAACACCCCATCTACCCTGTGGACTAACTGCCAGGAGTTGTGTCTTTGTTCATCTCTCTGCCTAAAAGGGGATCCCTCCATTTCCTTTTCTGTGTGAGGAACTCCTACTTTTCCTTGAACACAGAACTCTAACATTCCCTACCAAAAGAGGCTTCCTTTGTCTACCCATTTAGAAGTGACACCTTTCCCTCTGTTTTCCTGTAAGAATTCTCCTATAACGTGATGAAGCATGGAATTAAGTAAGTTATGTAAAACATGCCTCACCCTATAAGACAGGTCCATGTCTACAAGGGACCAAACATTTTCATGATCTGTAATAGGTTTGGGGCTACCTTGAGATATGAGCTGTGTGAGTGGGCCTTACGCACAGGAGCTATTTAAAATCTTGAATTTAGAAATAACAACCCAGGGGCTTTTAATCATAGGATGAATCTTACTTTCCCAAGTATACCCACTTGTCATAGGATGAATCTTACTTTCCCAAGTATACCCACTTGAAGTAGGATGTTTAGCTTTATTGTCACTGTGATTTTCTTTTACTCACAGAAACTTGAGCCCATAAATTCCCCCTTTTAGCCCAAAGAAATCAAGACTGAACAAAATCAGACAGAAGACGTAATGGGAATTAGTTTTTAAGTGTAAAGAAATGTAATTAACACTTATTACCAGGCATCTCTAAGACTACTAAAAACCTTTCCTCATAGCCTCAGGACATAGAATAATTATAGGAAAATAAAGAATGGGGAACTAGTGAAATATTAGTGACATTAATTAGTCTTTTTTTTTTTTTTTTTTTTTTTTTACAAAATCTATTTGTGGTGAAGCGAACTTTCAAAAGTTTTAAGAAGTTGACTTATGACCAGAGAGTGTCTACTACTTAGAATCTTACATTTGGATCCAAGATGGGATATTTGGGGAGGTTTCTGGTTTTGGCAATTAACACCGGCAATCAGGTCAATGGCTCACAGGATCAACTTGTGATGAATTATCTTTATAGAGACCCTCCAACCCCGAAAGTACCAGTTCCCAATCCTGGAATACCCACCCACCTTCTACACATCTGCACTGTCTCATCCTTCAGAAAGGGAGGTAGGCTAAGGACTTCGCTAGACTAGAGGGGAGGAAGGATAAGCATCTTCTTTCCCTTCTCGTGCTTACGAGAGTGTTGTGGTTAATTTCAGTAGCCAAGGCTACTGAATAGTGGCAGAAATAATCCTAAAATAATTTCTACATAACAAATGGATGAACCTACAGAATTATTTCCCTTATTCAAATGGGCTTTCAAAGTCTGTTTTTTTCCCCCAAGAATAATATATTTTGCAATCTTTTCACTAGATTTACAGAAGGTAAATACTAAAGACAAAACCACCTTAAATTTAAAATGGTCTCTGTTGTATTTCATTGCCCCAGTCAAAGCCTATGTTCAGAGACAAATCAATTATATCTACTGGGCCTACACCATGCTTTTGCATCTTGATTTGTTGAGCAACATCCTGGACATGCTGTTTTGTGCCTTAGATACATCTTTTAAAATATTCTCCCATTTAAAAAAAAATACATATATATATATATATATATATATATATATATATATATGTATGTATATGTATATAAATAGCCAAGATTAGCAAAACGATTAAAAGTGAGAACACAGTCTATTCTGGGTTGCAGCATGGTTTTGGAGTCATATTCTGTCACTGCCTTGTACAAAATAACAAGTCCCATTTGTAGTGTGCTTTTTGTAGATGGACAACCACATAAGATGTGTGCACCTGTGTGTGTGTGTGTGTGTGTGTGTGTGTGTATATATATATATATATATATATATGTATGTACAGTACACAAACAGTATATATATATATATATGGTCAACAAATCAATAGGCTTTGGGATCACATTCCCTCAAGTCGGCACAACGCCAGCACAGAGCCATGCACAAGGGCCACTAACTGATGGTGATGGCGGTGACAGGAATGCGGTTGAGCACGCAGCAGAGGAGAGTGCAGCGCTGGAAAAGCCTCCCCTTCCCCAGCCCCGGTGCCACTCCTGAGAGGACCCCCTGCTGCTCCTGGATCTCTCATCGTTTTCTCCTCTGCCCCACTAGGGTGTTGCGCCCAACATACCTTTTCTAAAAGCTCCTGGTTTCTCTTAATGAAAAGTTGTTTATCTTCTACCCAGTGTGAGTCCTGTTTGACAAAGAATATCGCGCAGTCAGCATTTCAGAGTGGCACAAGAGGGCATGTGTCGTCAAACCACTTGGCCAGAGTCGTCTTCTCACCCAGGTTGGTGGCCTGCTGATGGCTGGTAAATGACACCCACCCCTTGTTATCAGCTCCTTCCTCAAAAGACATCGGGGCCAAAGTTGCCAGGAAAATTTTACCCCCTTTTCATCGACACTCACTAATCTCTAACTTTTTCAGACTGAATAATCCAGGATCAGCCTTCCGGGGACTCAGAAGTGACCACACAGGCAAAAAGTGAAAAGGGTCAGAATGCACACAGGCTAGATACGTATGGATGGAAAACATTAAAATGCAGAACCATAAATGTAGCATAGAGGCAAAGAATGCAGCTGGAGAGGCGGGTCTTTGTCTCAGCAGCTTGCGACCACTCTAGGCTATAAGTACAGGGCTCCTCTTCCTCTGGCCTTCTCTCTCTTGCCCAACCTCATTCGTGTTGTAGTGGGGTTCACACTCTGGCCAGAAAAACACCAGGGACAGAAACATCGAGTTGAACATTCTGACACAGTTTGAGAAAGGTCACTGTGGAGAGCCAAGCCGTGTCCTGGGTGTGGCCCATGCACAGGGGCTAGAGGACGGTCGTACTGAATTGTTTGCATGTGCAGAAGAGCCAGCAACCGAATACCTACCTGCCCTTTCTGAGCCAGAGTCGCTTCCAGATCTTCAATTTTGGCTTTATACCTTAGCACCTCTGCTTGCAGCTGTTCTTGAGCCTAGTGAAATAAAAATTCCAGAACTCAGTAAGTAAAATAAATGGTAACTCAATATTTTCCCCTCCTTATGTTTCTTCATCAGAACTCAACAAGGGAGGGACGCCTGGGTGGCTCAGTTGGTTAAGCGGCTGCCTTCGGCTCAGGTCATGATCCCAGTGTCCTGGGATCGAGTCCCACATCAGGCTCCTTGCTCGGCAGGGAGCCTGCTTCTCCTTCTGCTTCTGCCTGCCTCTTGGCCTACTTGTGATCTCTCTCTCTCTGACAAATAAATAAAATCTTAAAAAAAAAAAAAAAAGAACTCAACAAGGGAGAAAAAAAAATGTCTATGACCAAAGAACCTTTTAAAACTATGTTTAGGATCTAAATTCTTGCCTAAAACTTTCCATGGTTCCTTTTACCACCAGGTTAAAATTCAAAGTCTTCAGGTGAGATGTGAGAACTCCTGTTATATTTGCAGTCTTCCCCCCACCACTCATCAACAGAGTTTACCCCTGATCATCTGCTGGTGATCTCATTTCCTAAATATACCTTGTAACCCTACATTTCTCTCTTATTTGAATAATTCCTCTTCTGGAAAGCCTTCTCCCTCTTTGCCTCTCCCAAAACTTGCCATTCTTTCAGAGCCAACTTTGTGCCCTAAATCTAAACCTAGATCCAGATGTATGTATATATGAATGAGGTGTATGTGGGCTAAGTATGTGTATCAGCATTTTTGGACACTGATCTTCTGTGGAGCAACCTTAACTTCATTTGTTTTCAGATTCTCTTGTCTTCTTCCTACATAGGACCTTATTTTCTATGAAAATTTAGTGGGTTCTTTGTTTTTTGCCCATACATATATTTTTTACTTATCTTAAGATCTTGATAGGTTCTTTAGTATAATGTGGAATAAAGTCAGCATTGGAAGAGATCCTTTTTTCTTCCTTCCTTCCTTCCTTCTTTTTTAAGGGGAGAGAGGGTAGGGAGGAACAAAGGGAGAGGGAGAGAGAGAACCTCAAGCAGACTCCCCATTGAGGAGCCTGAAAGAGGGGCTTGATCTCATAACCCTGACAACATGACCTGAGCCAAAATCAAGCAATGGATGCTTAACTGAGCCACCCAGGTGCCCCGCCCTTGACCCCCCTGCCCAGTTCTTCCTTTCTTAAAAGTAATCTCTTGGGGCACCTGGGTGGCTCAGTGGTTTAAGGCCTCTGCCTTCGGCTCTGGTCATGATCCTGGTCATGATCTGGTCAGGGTCCTGGGGCTGAGTCCCGCATTGGGCTCTCTGCTTAGCTGGGAGCCTGCTTCCTCCTCTCTTTCTCTGCCTGCCTCTCTGCCTACTTGTGATCTCTGTCAAAAAAAAAAAAAAAAAAAAAAAAAAGTAATCTCTATACCCAATGTGGGGCTTGAACTCACAATCCTGAGATCAAGAATTGCATGCTCTTACTGAGCCAGCCAGGTGCTCCTCCTTTTCTTATTCTTCATTGGGAGGAGAATATATCTTTGGACTGTTGAACATTATATTTAACTTTATCAGATTAAGAAAATCAGATTTATCAGATTAAAAAAATCCCAAACTTAATTTCACTAATTATTTTAACTTTAAATGAGCATGGACTACAATCTATTTTTCTCTTTTATCAAAATGATTACATCTTTTATTTTCATGATACTCATTCATCTATGTTATCTATTTTTGCATTCCTTTTTTTAAAATATTTTACTTATTTATTTAGAGAGATGGGGGCATGTAATCGAGAGTGGGTGAGGGCAGAGGGAGAGAGAGAATCTCAAGCAGACATCGTGCTGAGAGCAGAGCCTGATGCAGGGCTTGATCTCACGACCCTGAGATCATGACCTGAGCCAAAATAAGAGTTGGGACATTTAACCAATGGAGCCACCCAGGCACCCCTATTCTTGCATTTCTACTTTCTTTCAATTACTCTATTACTCTTTTTCTAACATCTTGATTTGTTTTAGACTATTTTGCTGAGAAGGGTTAAGTTTCTTTGACTTTCATGGCCAGAGATAACACTAAACCTTTATTTATTTATTTAAAGATTTTATATATGTATTTGACAGAGAGAGAGAGAGAGATCACAAGTAGGCAGAGAGGCAGGCAGAGAGAGGGGGAAGCAGGCTCCCCACTGAGTAGAGAGCCTGATTTAGGGCTCAACCCCAGAACCCTAAGATCATGACCTGAGCCGAAGGCAGAGGCTTAACCCACTGAGCCACCCAGGTGCCTCTAAACCTTTATTTAGAGGTGGCGGTGAAGTGAGAGGAAGAACTGGTTTCTATATCATCACCTCTTCAAAAAACAAGATGTATGCCATTATCTTAATTAGCCAACCCTATGTTGGTGAGAATGCTTCATACATGCTAATCATGAAAACCACAACTATTACATATTAGGGAATAAACACGAAGGAACACACATACATCCCTTTCTAATGATTGCCTGCCTATTTATTTCAAATCACAGTGTTTTTTGATTTATTTAATTTTAAAAGATTTTATTTATTATTTATTTGACAGAGATCACAAGTAGGCAGAGAGGCAGGCAGAGAGACGGCGGGGGGGAAGCAGGCTCCCCGGTGAGCAGAGAGCCCGATGCAGGGCTCGATCCCAAGACCCTGGGATCATGACCTGAGCCGAAGGCAGAGGCTTTAACTCACTGAGCCACCCAGGTGCCCCCACAGTGTTTTTTAAAAATGTTTATATTCATTTATGTATAAATACGCATGTGTACGTAGGTATGTTACAATTTAAAAATACACAACTATAATATCTATCCTGTCCCATTAAACAACTACAAGTAGGTCCTACAACACTCCTCAGCATACTACATACCCTTTAAACTGGGAAATAGGATAAAATCACTGGGTGGGCATAATCCTTTTTGTCCCATGTAAATTAATCTATGAGGCAGTTATGGCACCGGTGGTTAGGACTGTGAACTCAGAAACATGAGGTTGATACCCTAGCTTTCATCTAACTGAGCTAGATATCCTGGTTTCAACCTAGCTAATCTACATTTAACTCCTCCTAAGCTATTATCTCCTCTCCTATAAAAAGGACATAGCTAAGAATAGCATCTAACTCATAGGGTTGTTTGAGGATTGCATCAGATGATGTATAGAAAGTGCTTACAACCAAGCCTGCCACACTGCACTCACAACATTTTAAGTATTAGTATTGTATGCATGTGGCTTTTTTTTTTTTAATAAGCTTATGAGAGGCAATCATGATTTAATGGAAAGAACATGTGACCCAGCAAGATTTTAGGTGGAATCCAATCCAAGTTTTCTATTAATTAGCTATGTGATCTCGGGCAATTTAGTTAACCCCTCAGAGCCTCGAACTCACCTTTTATAAAACACCTGCCTTGGGGTGGTGTCATAAAAATTAAATGAGATATTGTCAGTGAAAATTCTTTGGAAGTTGTCAATGTAATGCTGTGCACTTATTAACTAAGAGAAGAAAGTGGCTAACCACAGAAGTATTTTTTCCAAGCAAGGAGGTAAAAAAAATGGATTATCAAAATTCAATATTGCCTAGCTTTGAAAATATAAGCTTTCAAATAGCAAGAATAAGAACTACTATCTTTAAAGGAACAAAGCATCGATCTAAGTTGGTTCTAATGTCTCTAGATGCAAGGTTTGTTGACATAAAAGATAAAACAGTTCAAAAGCCGCAGTGGAGAGGATACAGGGGAAGCTATCCTACTGATATTTTTATGTGCATGGTACTTTTATGTTACGACTGCTGCAAGTCAATTCAGAGCCCTCTCCCCAGATGTATACTGACCTTGGCTTCCCTTTCAGCATCGATGATACCTCCAGTCTGCTCCTGCAGGAGGGCATATGCTCTTTGGAGGGCCTGATATTCTTTTGTTAATTGTCGAAATCGTAGCTCAGATTCCTCAGCTGCTAAACTCTTGAGGTTACAAGAAAAGCCAAAAAATAATTAGGTTATGTTTGCATCCTGTGTTCAATGTGAAACACTAACATTTGTCCACTTTATAAAGAGAAGTAAATATCTGTTTGATACTGGATTCAGTATAATTTTGTTCTTTTTTTTTTTTTTTGTAATTTTATTTTATTTTTTTTTCAGTGTTCCAAGATTCATTGCTTATGCACCACACCCAGTGCTCCATGCAATACGTGCCCTCTCCTTAATACCTACCACCAGGCTCACCCAACCACCCTCCCCTCTAAAACCCTCAGTTTGTTTCTCAGAGTCCATAGTCTCATGGTTTGTCTCCCCCTCCGATTTCCCCCAACTCACTTCTCCTCTCCATCTCCCAATGACCTCTGTGTTATTCCTTATGCTCCACAAGTAAGTTTTGTGTGGGGGAGTAGCAGAGGGAGATAAAGAATCCCAAGCGGGCTCCACACCCAGTGCAGAGTCTGAGATGGGGCTTGATCTCACGACTGTGAGATCATGACCTGAGCCGAAATCAAGAGGCAGACACTTAACCAACTGAGCCACCCAGGCACCCTGTGATTTTCTTTTATTTGTTTTTTCCTGTGATTTTATTCTTAATTTTAAAGTATGTACATAGACACAAACACTTGTAGTACTTTCAAGATGGACATCACATAAATACTTAATGTTTGTTAATATGAGGTGTTTGTTTATTTATACATATCTGATGATTGGTTACTCTTTTGGTTTGGATTACAGTCAATTTTGAATCCAAATGAGAAGAAGTTACACCTAGCTTTTGGATTCAAATGGGAGGAAATGATAGAGTTTTAGTCTCAATTCTTTTCCATACATCCATATGCAACAATTTCTTGATTGATCTTGAGATAAACTTAAAAATATACTTTCACGGCTTTAGGTCTCAAACTTCAGAGCATAATATAATCACCAGGGAGCTTTGTGAAAAATGCAGATTTGGGGGTTCTATCCATAAGATCCTGACTCAGGAGGTATGTAATAGAGTTCAGGAATTTTCACTGTGATTGAACCCCCCGTAGGTGATTCTGACAATGGTAGTCTACAAAGCACACTTTGCTAAACCCTGTCCTCAACTGTATCTAGAAGCTTGTTCTTCTAAGCCTCTTCCTCCGTCCTCACCTTCCTTGTGAGAAGAATTTGGGATAGTAACTTTTAAGTTTGAAAAAAGTCTTCCACTTACAGAATTTTAGACAAGTCGTAAAAGGGTTACATGACATTGGTGAAGCTATTTTCCAAGAGGTAACAAAGTAAAAATGGAACGATTGTGTGATCATTTTGCACAGCTCAGAAAGGATATAAGAAGTGCAATGCTTTCTCTCCATTTTAAATGAAAGGTTTGGTGATAGTATCACAGAAGACTATAGAAGTGGAAAAGCTTACTTCATCTAAGTCATCATCAGGAGTAGCTGGTGTTCGGTCAGTTCTAAACGAGGCCATGGATGATGTCTCTGAATCCATGGAGTCCTCATCATAGCCAATAAATGGGTCCAAAACAGGCCTCTAGGGGAGGGAAAGTACATATTTACTGACACAACTAGAAGTGGGTAAAGTCAACATATTATCAGGCATATGTGCAAAAGGACACCAAAGACAGGGGTCTTTTAGTGCTTCTTGGAGGAAATAAACACTCTGGGCATGAACACAATCATTCCTATAGAAACATGTCTCCTTTTGTTTCACTCATGATGTTTGTGAGGAATGTTCATGGATATTTTGCTCTCTTCATAGAAACAGTGGCGCCTCTTTTACATTACATTTTATACCATGAGGAGTTTATGTGATTTGCTCTTTCCGGTACTTAAAATATAATCAAGACATTTAAAGTCCAGGCACCTATTTGGGATTCTCAAATTGTAAGTCTTACCATCCAATCCCATACCCAAATCAAGTAACGTATTTGATAAAAACAAAATCAAACAAATTAACAAATTAACAAAACTCTGCGGATTATAAGAGACTATACAGAGATGGGTGGACTGAGAGTACCGTTACTAGTAATCATTATCAGAATAGTATCCGAGTGAAGTATCCATATCCAATGGAATAATAAAATCAAACTACTATCAATAATACTCTTCAAGAGAATAATAAAAATATACTAATAATTACAGGGTGAGTAAGAGACACTAATGTTGTTCACCAGGAGGCATTAAATCATGTGTATCTCTCGCATATTCTTGGGAGTCTGACTCTCCAGCTTGTCAGATAATGCCTTCTACATCAAACCTAGTGCCTTATTCGCTCAGATAAAGTCATAGTAAAGCAAACCTTAAAGGTTAAAATCCACAATGTAATAATTTTTGGACTTCTAAGAACTATTAAGAGATTTTCTTCTAGCAAATAGAGCCCATGGTTTGCTGCAATTTAGGAACATTTAATTTATCACATCTTTGCAGGAAGATTCCTTGGCAAGCCTCACTTTTCTCACAGAGCTTGTGGCAAAAGCCTGATAACCTAGTTTTCCCATTACCTTAATTGGCTTGGAACTTCTTCTGTGTTTTCTCCTACGGATGAGCTTTTCTCGGTCCTGGAAAACAGATGAAGAACTCAGATGTTGAGTTGGTACATGTTTCCCTCTAGGTGGTCCCCTCTGCTCTGCAATGATAGAGTTGGTTTTCCCCTGAGGCATTATGCCTTTCTATTTAAAATAAGATTGTGTTTTATAATTTTGGCAAATTTAAGGTTTGCTACTTACAGATCTTTTTAAAGATTTTATTTATTTATTTGAGAGAGAGGGAGAGCACAAGTAGGGGGAGGAGCAGAGGGAGAGGAAGACAGAGGGTAAAGAATCTCAAACAGGCTTCACACTGGGTGTGCCAGGCTTGATCTCATGATGCTGAGATCAGGAACTGAGTGGAAACCAAGAGTTGGCTGCTTAACCAATTAAGTCAGCTGCCCCGCTACTTACATATTTTTTAAGTAAAAATACACTACAACTTTTCCTGATAATCTATGTGGATCTGAGAGCCTCCCAATAAGGAAGTACACTGTCTTCTTCATCAGAATCCTTTGTTACACTTGAAGATCAAGTAGCTCTGAAAATACTCATATTTTCCCAAAGAACAATTTTTGTTTTCTTAAACCCAAAATTACTTTCTATATAAGTATTAAAAAAGTGCTATTTTGCATAAACTTTATTCTTTTCATTTAATCAGTTGAAAGGCATAGCAAGCTGTCTCAGACTCTCATTCTTACCTGTAGCCTCCGAAAATGGGAACAGAGTATCTACTGGGTTGGAGTAATCTAGTGGGTTTTTGTGGGGGAGGGGGTTGTTATAGTTGGAATGTTCTGGGAAACTCAAAGAATATCCAGAAATCACAATCGATTTCTTTTCTTTTTTTCCCCCCACAATCGATTTCTTGATTTATTGTTGCTGTGGATGGAGATATCCTGGGAATTTGGTGCTCATCCACTAAGTACCCCACATATTTACTGTACAAATTTAAAGGTAGATTAAATAAGTGACACTTAGTTTCCCTGAAAGTCTGGACAATATGCGTCAACACATCAAATACCCCCCCCCTTTTTTTTTTAAGATTTTATTTATGTATTTGACAGAGAGACAGAGAGAGAGCACAAGTAGGCAGTAGCAGAAAGAGGGAGAGAGAGAAGCAGACTCCCTGCTGAGCAGTGAGCCCAATACGGGGCTTGATCCCAGGACGCTGGGATCATGACCTGAGCCGAAGGCAGCCGCTTAACTGACTGAGCCACCCAGGCACCCCAACACATCAAATTCCTTTAAGAAACTTTTAGCTTAAGTTCAGATACTCAAAGTCAAGAACAGTATGGCTGAGAATCAAGATTCTGGGATTTTCTAGAAATTAAGGATGTGGATGTGAAGTAAGAGGCACACTGCTTTAGAAGGCCATATTTAATACATGATCTCGTTTATGCCAGTGATGTTAACCTTTAGGATTTCTTGCCATGTAAAAATATTTTTATTATAAAACCCCAATATATCTGAAACTTTTGAAAATTTATACTTAGATTACTCTAATACAGTATATGCCTTTTAACTCAACATAGATGATTTTAAAAGGATAAACCACAGATAGTTTTTTTTTTTTTAAGATTTTTATTTATTTGACAGATCACAAGTAGGCAGAGAGGCAGGCAGAGAGAGAGAGGAGGAAGCAGGCTTCCCACTGAGCAGAAAGCCCGACGCGGGGCTCAATCCCAGGACCCTGGGATCATGACCTGAGCCGAAGGCAGAGGCTTTAACCCACTGAGCCACCCAGGTGCCCCACCACAGATAGTTATAACCTGAAGTTATCATCTTTTCTCCCCTCAACAGCAATTAATCAGCTTGCTCACCTTACTCTGGAGACACTTGCCTAAGCCCCCCAACCCCAACTGCTGGTTCTTCAACTCTCTGGCCCTTGGCTTGGTCCTGAAGTGAGAGTGACCAGAGATAACCATAATGGAATAAAGACAGAGAGGCAAAGAGGAAACTGAAAGGCGTCTGAAGGTCTTAGTCCACTGCTGCTAGCAAAACAGGCCTTGACCAGATGTAAATGGGAGTAATAACAGCTCTACAGGCACTGAGGTCGTGGTCAGAAGATCAGGACTGAAATTTCCACTCTGTCATGCAATTACGATGTCACCTTCTGCACTTGACTCCCTGTACCCACACTGGAAGTTTGTGTGTGGTGTTCAGGGCAGAGTGAAAAGTGCTTCGACAGAGGTTCATTCAACAAATATTAAACTGTACCTATGTACTAGACACTGAATTAAATGTTGGGAAATAAGAGGCATATGATCCTGTTATTGTTGGCCAAATATTTAATCGCCGAGCCTCAGAATCTTGATACTGGAATGCAATTATAAGGTATACCCACACTACCTACCTACTCACATGATGCATTTGGAAGTTCTTTTAGGGTGTTCTGCAACCAAGATTTGTGTTACCAAACTAGTTAACAAAGGATTATAACTGAAAATGTATAAAACAGTTTAATAATATGAACTATTTTTGGAGTAGAGGCTCTTCAACCTACTTATGTATTGAATATATAAACGTGGGCCTTTGGGGCTAATCTGAAATTATTAAGTGCTTCCAGTGTATGTTGATTTCTCTGCTACTTGCCCTTGGAAACAGCTTAGAGTTTATAGGTTCATCGAGACCTACCCTTGTGAGCTCATCAATAATGTTCTGCTGCTCAATGACTTGAAGTTTTAAAAACTCTGTCTCTTGTTCTTCATTAGCTTGATCGAGGTCATTCAGAGATTTTAATTTCTTTAAGGGTGGGTGGGATGTTATTTTTTCTCTCTGGATTAGAAAAGAAGAAAGTATAGGTAGAGACTTTAAAATTCCCAAACTTGAACAGTTCACATAAAACATCTGTAGAAACTTTATGAGGCTCCAGCTAAATGTGAAAATTGCTCAGCTTCACAGATGCCATCAACGAAAACCCTCAAGTATATTGTATTTTCTACAAGTCAAAATCATCAGGGATGTCTGAAGATCTCGATAGCTGTGCTGTAAGTCTGTTAAGAGTGCATGAGCTTATCACCGTCCATACATAATTCAAGTGGCAGCATCTATTTCTCAACTATTATGCAATGTCTCAGAAGATGAGAGCACCCATTGTACAGTTCTATAAAGAGCACGTTAGTGAAATTCTTGGAAGGAAGTCTCTGTGGCTGAGGAGCTATGTTGAAAGTTTGCTTCTCTATTGGGAAGATTTTGGAAAGTATGCAGATCCTGAAACACTCCTACCATTCTGCAAATTTAGAAACCCCTTTAAATTCAGAGCCAGCAACTTTCTCTTGCTTTCTTCCTTTAAGGTTCCTTGTTTACACAGGGAAAAACCCCAACTTTCATGAATATCATTGTATTTTAAAAACAAACTCAGAAAGAGCAGTAAGTCAGGTTAGTGGTGTAATATAAAGAGGGAAGCTGCAGTCTTGCAGAGTCTGTGATACACACCATTTCCGAATTTTCCTTGGTAACGGCTTTTAGCTTCTCTTCCATGCGTTGCAAAGACACCATCAGCTCATCGTTCCTCTTGGCGAGGCACTTGTTCCTTTCCAGAAGAGGTTTACATTGTTTCTCGGTTTCCCGCACACGTTTTAACTGGGAAGACATAAGTTATAATTTGTCTCTTGTGCTGGAGTAGATGTGGGGGCAGAAGGAGTGAACTGACAGGGATAAAACCTACCCGGGGCCACCTTGGTCTGCTTCTCTGTGTCTCAGAACTGACCATGTCCATCCTTCATTTAACAGCCCGACTGCTTTGTTTTCAGTTTCCTCTAATGCTTTGCCATCAGAGTATTCACAACTCTCTACCAAGTATTACCTTCAAGGAGGTGTGGCCAAGGTTTTGCTTTTGGAAATGCTCAGGAAGAGCAATTGCATGCCTTGCTTGCCCTTGATTCCTCCAGCCCAGTTATCCTGCACACTCAGCCCCCATCTCATGCTGCTCATACCTCTCCCCAGGCCTGCAATGACCCCTCACTGGCTCAGAGAGATAAAGCAGCTAGTGTGAATCACAAGTCACTAAGTAGTGCAACCAGGACCCAAACCCAAGCCTGGTTGTCGCCAAAACCTGTTCTTCCCATGAGAGATGTTGCTAAGACTCCTAAAACCGTACTAAGGCTGTTCATTCATTTTTAAAAGTTTTTTCATTTTTTTTTTGTAATCTCTACACCCAATGTGGGGCTTGAACTCATATGAACTCATAACCCCAAGAGCAGGAGGCTCATGTTCTTCTAAGCCAGCCAGATGCCCCAAGGATGTTTATTTTTAAGAAAATGTTACTGAGGGAAAAAAAAAAATACTCTCAAAACTTTATTGATATTTGTATTTAAGAATATTTCATTCTCACCGAGCTTAGGAAAAGTATGATTATATTCTTACCCACCCGTAATTAAGAGTGACCATATTCTGGTTTGCTAGTTAGTCTAAGGCAGGGTTTCTCAACGTCTGCACTCTCGACATTCTGGGCTAGATATTTTTTGTCATGAGGAGATGTCCTGCATTGTAGAATGTTTAGCAGCATCCCTGGCCTCTGCCCGCTAGATGCTGGTAACATCCTCCCAGTTGTGACAATCAAAAATGTCTCCAGATACTGCCAAAACTGCCTCTAGCTGAGAACCACTGGTCTAATTTTATGAATGCTATCTTGGGGTAATTGTTAATAGTCCCCCCCCCTTTTACTCTCAAAACTCCCTTTTATACTCAAAACTCTCATTTGGATGACATATTTTATGGTCCCTCTATATATAACAATTTCCATTTCCATGTGAAAGTTCCTGTGCTTAGTTCAGTGACTTTATACTAATGTTTCTGAATGAGTATGTATTGGGGGAGGGGTACTTTAGCAAGCAAAGTGGTGGGGTCTATCAATCAGAATCATCTGACAAGATTGTTTAAAGTACTCACTCTTGTTTTTGAGAATCTAACATTTTCGGAAGTACTGGAGTAGGAGAATTAGCTACCTATAAATATTTGAAACAGCTGCTTGTGGGATTCTAAAACAGTACTTCCCAACTGTATCCTAACTTCCATTTGGAAACTCATTTTATATCAAAGGCCAAAAATTTTTTATAACCTCATTTAATCCTCAGATTCGAGTTTTAGTGTCTGAAGAAACCATATTAAATATGAAACATATACAAGGACAAAAAATCATTCCACTAGGTTCACTATTTTAAACTTTGTCTCTTTTCTGAAGGTCAATGACAAGGGTTTTAAACAGTTAAATTTACTTAGTAGATGCTATTTACAGAAGATGCAGAAAAACACATGTAAAAGGAGATATCAGTAATTCTATCATACCATACATTAGTAAGCACAGATCCAAAGTACCTAAAAAAAAAAGGTTTCTTTTAAAAGATATAACAAATATTATAAAGTGTGAAAGTCAATATATTCATGAAACCACCAAAAGAAAATATCCGATATAGTGCAACTGACATCAGACCAAGACTTTAAGTCAAGAAGTATTACTAAAGATAAAAAAAAAATCAGGATGCAAACATTTAATAAATCTTAATTTACATGTACCTAGTAATATAACTTCAAATATATATATAAAACAAACTCAACAAAACTAAGAATAGATATGGACAAATCTGTTGGGAGAAGAAGCACACAGAAAAAGTATAAAGATATAGGAGATTTTAAACAAGACTACTAATGAACTTGACTCAAAACCCTTGCAATGATTGCAGAGTATACCTTCTTTTTATGAGAACATGGAATGTTTCTATAATTGACAGTATGCTACCATTAAAAAGTAGATTTCAACAAGTTTTAAAGAATGAAATGATACAAAGTATTACTGACTAATGTAAAATTGCGTGTCAACTGTACTTCAACTTAAAAAAAAAGAAATAATATAAAGTATATTCTCTGACTACAATGGAATTCAGGTAGAAATCATTAGCAGAGAGATAACTCAAAAATCTCCAAATATTTAGAAGTTAAGCCTTACGGTGCTAAGTAAACCATGGGTTGAAGAAGAAATCATATATTAGAAAAGATTTTGAAATAACAATACATTATGACATAAAAAATGTAATGGGATGAAGCTAGTCATGCTTAGAGACTTATGACTTAAAATGTATATATTTGGAAAAAACAAAATGCTGAAATTATAACTTCTTTGTACCAAGAACTACCATTAAGAATGTACAATGTGGGGCACCTGGGTGGCTCAGTGGGTTAAAGTCTCTGCCTTCGGCTCAGGTCATGATCCCAGGGTCCTGGAATCGAGCCCCACATCGGCCTCTCTGCGCAGCGGGGAGACTGCTTCTCCCCGCCCCCCACCTGCCTGCCTCTCTGCCTACTTGTGATCTGTCAAATAAATAAATAAAATCTTAAAAAAAAAAAAAGTTACAATGTAGGCACAGAGCAGGATTTTTTTTTTTTTTTTTTAAGATTTATTTGTGAGAGAGAGAGAGACAGCATGAGAGAGCATAGGGAAAGGGCAGAAGGAGAAAGAGAAGGAATCCCTGGCAGACTCCATGCTGAGGCTGGAGCCTGACAAGGGCTTGATCTCAACACTCTGAGATCACGACCTGAACCGAGACCAAGAGTCAGACATTTAACCGAATGAGCCACCCAGGTGTCCCCAGAGCAGAATATTTTAAATACAAATATACAAAAATGATATAAAGAATTCCTAATATTAATAAGAAAATAAAGGCAACACAAAAGAAAATTTTATGAAAAACAAAGGGCAAATCACACAAGGACACCCCAAAAGCCAAAATATATTTGATAATTCACTCAACCTCCTTATTGAGGAAAGTAAAAACCAAAATCCTACAATCAGAATATTGCTCATACCCACCATACTTATTAATATGATCAACGATCTGTGCATGTTGGCAAAGCTGGGGAGAAATTGCCAAGTCTCCCACATTGGCAGTAGGAATGCAATTGTTCTCACAACTGTGGAGACCGAGGACCAGTACTAAGTCTGACCACATGCACACCCTACGACCCAGTCATTCTGCTCCTTGGTAAGTTCTCAGCAGAAACGAACACATTTTCTCACCAAAGACATGTAGCAGCACTACTAACATTGAAACTGCTAAGAAACACTATAAATGCCCATTAATAATTGAAGAGGAAATATACTGTGGTGTATTAACTGAATACAATAGAGTAAGAAAATGAATGAGGGACACATGTAATACAGTGAGTGACTTCCACAAATGTAATGCTGGGCAAAAAAGCCAGACACAGGAGAGTGATTACTGTAGGATGCCATTTACGAAACATTTAAAAAATGGTGATGCACGTCTACAGTGACAGAATTCAGTGAGTGGATTAGTTCTGGAAGGATGTGACTGGTAGAATTCCCAAGAGAGGGAGGCTCTGAGGCACTGGTAATCTTCCAGGTACTCATCAGAGCGGTGGTAGTATGGGCGTATTTCTTTGGGCATGTTTATTAAACTGGACCTTTATTATCTGTGCATAATATCTTTATTATGTTATACTTCCACAACATCTTATAAATTTTCTTAAACAAAACACTTAAGAAAAATCACCATATAAATAAACAAGTAATTCTGGGCAGAACTCACCAGTTCGTTTCGTTCATCTCCAAGCAGGGTGTTCCTGTCTTCTAATTTTCTTATAGTGGCATTCAATTCAGCTATTCTCTTCTGATTTCTTCTCAAATCCTGTGCATGGAAATTAAAATGGGTATTTCTTCCATAACACTTTTCACAAAGTTCGGGAATTCCACTCATAAAAGTAAGAGGTTTGGTTCCTTGCACCTGGCTTACGAGGGGAGAGTAAAATGTTCTGTATTCAGAGAAGAGTAAATATTTACTGTCTTCTAACCCTTGATATTCACTGCTTGGGTTGAAGACCAGGCCTGATTGAAAGTGCAAATGAATTCCATGTGGCAGATACTCTCTGGAGCCCTGACTCCTGGCAGGGTGACTGGTAGATGGTTGGATGAGCCTCTCAGATTTGTGAGCTCTGAGACTAAGGTCATTCAGTGATTACGTGAGGTTAAGGAACATCTCTTAAGTCATGGCTACACATTGTTTCCCACAGTTAGGACAAATGTCCTATCATACTTGGCCAAAGAATAGAAGATAGGGCTGGGCTTTGAAAATTCCTACATACTCCTGGAGAAAAAGGTCAGAGTGAGAAGGTTGGTGTATTACCTTCATGCCTTTGTTGGTACATTTTGCCCAGAGCTACTGGCGTCCCCACTGTCATAATAGCCGTGGATCACTTTACACATGGCTCTCATGGACTGATTCCATGCTCTAGCATCCATAAGACCATTACAGACTTTCAATTCCATTATCATCTTACACTTTGATAGTGCTGTACTGTTGACAAACCAGTTTCCCACACATTTTATCTCCAGATTCATAAAATCCTAGAGGATTTAGCAGGACAGTGAAGATTCAGGGAGGTCATAATTCATTCAAAGTCTTGCGGCTACTATCAATAGGTCAATAATTAATATTTATTGAATGCTAACTATGAACCAGACACCGTGCTCAACATTTTACAGACCATTTCTTCCAGACCTCTGACCAGCCTTATGGCCCATTAGTGCGTCTCTTTTACAGATGAGGAAACTCTGAGCAGGAAAATGATTTGCCTGAGGTCACACGGTAAGTGGCAGATCCAGAATTTGAACTATAGAGTCTGACCCTAGAGCCCATTCTTTAGACAATTTTGCTGCACTGCAGGTAAATGTCAGGGATAGAACTGAAACTTACATCTGCTAAATCCTGATTCCGCCACCTACGGGGATATATATATCTTGAATACCAATTCATAAATTATTCATTACTTGGTTCTAAAGTACTACTTTGGAACCTATCTCTGTTCCTAAATAATACATTTTCATCTTTTTAGCAGCTACATGATTTGAAAGGTGTAAGTTATGAAAGCAAACTATATACAAGCTGATTTCTCTGGCTGCAGTTCTTAAAATAATTTCTCCTATAAAATGATCAAAATCCAGGGTAATAAGTGAGAAGTTCAATTAGACTAGAAGCTTTCCGAGGATGATTTAAACTGTTTAGTTTTTTATACAGTCCCACAGTTTGACTAATGTAGAAAACAACCGGCTTTGCCAATTTCCAACCCAATGGTTCACCCAAGGGAAAATTACCCGTCTTGGCAAGAGTTTCACCTAATTTATGACTCTTATAATAGGCTGAAGTTTGCATAGGTACCACATGGGCAGAAAAATTCTATGCAAGATTTAGAAAGACCTGTAATTCTCTTGTGAGCTGCTAATGCAGGGCAGACCACTTCGTTGTCTATGAGTTTAGAAAACCCTGTTCCCAAGATACTAGCTGGTTTTATAGGAGGAGGTAGAATTGATTTCTTTGTAGCAAACAGGAAAAGAGCTTAAGTGAAAAGTAAAACTTGGGAGCTGAATAAAAGATGACTCCTGAGTTCTTTTTTCAGCTCAGACAGACTTACAGGGCTGCCGCAGTGCTCGGAGCCATCTCCTGCTCTTCCCGGAATCTCTCGTTTCGGACTGCTCATGTTACACTCGGCCTCCTTGACCAGAAAGAGCTGTTCATCCAATGCCTCCTTCTGCAGCTGCAGTTTCTGTACATAGCCAGTTTGGGTCTCCAGTTCCTTTTCCAGGGAAAAGATGATCCTGTCCTTGGCTTTAATCTCATCCATCTGAATTAAATGACACCCAGAACATTTTATTTAACAATGTTGTAAAAAAAAAAATGCATTTTTACAATGGCAGGAGTTTAACTTCTTTCCTTTGATTGTTATAGGAAAAAATTATGACTGTGACAGTTATACTGAATTTATGAACAAGAGAAGGCAACACTGTGTAATGAAAGGCTACCCTCGGATAATGAGGCATCAAAGAGAGTAAATTTTCTCTCTGGTATATCCTGTGTAGATGCTTTAGTTCAATATATTGTTTGAAATAGTCTAGGTTGGTTGGATTTAGAAAGGAGAGGTTAACTTTAAAATGGGTCATTTGTAAAATAAAACAAAATAAAATGGGTCATTTGTGTTAATAAAGACAGATACTCAATATTCTATTACAGTGTTTCCCAGGACAATTTTTGATGTTCCTTCCTGTTCGGAGGAATAGCCTCTAAGTTCACTTTAAACAGCAGCATGCACTATGGTCATTTTGCGCTGACAAAGCTGCAGACTGTCCAGGACACTAGTCAGTTCCTAAGGCCAGTATGTTTGCGTTCAGGTGGCAAATGTGGAGTGAATTCAGGAGTGAATTTGGAACATGGTTCGTGTTAGGTGGATCTTTCCATTGAGCAAACAGCTAAGGCAATCATTTTATTACCATCAGAGAAAACCATGGTCGGGACAAGAAGAGGAATGGGAAACATCTGGTAATATTAGCCACTGTTTCCCCTCCTGTATCTGTGGGACATATTTATGGACCCCAACACTCACTTCTGTTAAGTCTCAGCATGGTCTCAGAATTATTTGTCAACTAAAGGCCATAAGCATTTGATAACAACTGATCGGGAGCTTCATTGCACTAAAAAATTAGTGCCATTCCTGGTGAGGGCTAGTGAAGTTAATGACTTTAAACAATTCTGAAGAAAGCATAACGATCAGGCAAAATCTTTCTTCTCATTTTATTGTATTTCATGAGAATATTTAAAATGGAGATAGGATAGAGACATTTAATACAAATGATATTATACTGTTCTCTTTATAAAAAGGTCTCCTTATTTATAACAAATCACTTTGTGTAAATCTTTCTTTGCTATGTTCCTTATATAAATATGCCTATGTATATATTTGGAACAAAAATTGATGCATAGTCCCATTTTTCCCCAGGTAACTATCTGCAAGCTCCTGCCTCTCAGTCACAGGATTACATTTTAGATCAATGTTGGAAGGACATGGGGCTAAATTTCGCATGGTCCTGTGATATCATCTGATAACTTGATGAGTAGTCAAACACTGTCCTTTAATTCCAGAATGAAAGCACTGTCTTTAGTTTCTACCTCCTTGTAGAAGATTTGAATCCAGTGTTTTTCTTAACTAGGTTGTACATTCATTTGTTAGACCTGTCATCTACGACGTCATTTACAGTTTACCATGGTTCCACGCCTCCGTGCTCCTAGTTGGTTCTGATGTACCCTACCTAAATGAACTTGCTGGGAATCACTCCCATACTACCCATATAATCATCCTCATCATGGCCACATCCCACATCATAACTAAAATTTATTGATTTTTTACAACATTCAAGGCACTATCCTCAGAACTTTACACACCTTATCTCCTCTTATAACAATCCTACACACAAATTTTATTATCACCATTTTACAGATGATAATTGAGGACCCAAAGGGTTTCCAACTTTGTCATAATCCTATAGTTAATAAGCGGTGAAGCCAGATTTTTAAGTTCAGTCTTCTGACCCCAGAGCCCATTCTAACAGGCTATGCAGTAATGATCCCAAAATTACCCTTACCCTTCCAGCACTTTCCAAAGTAGTTTTCTTAAGAATATCCAGTAATCAGTGTCGATGAGTCTCTATTGCATAGTGATTTTAAGCATAGACTCAGGCTTCAGAATACTGAAAAATCTTCCAAAATTCTAGTTCTTAGATGGGAATGGGTGTCTAGCAGAATTCCCTGGATAAATTTTCTAAACAGAATGGCTTTCATTTCTCTCCCTTCCAGTTCCAAAAAAATGGATCTGGGTGTGGGGGTAGTAACAGAACAAGAAGAAAAAATAAGTACATCTGCACTACTGAAAAACTTCCCATGTTATTCTGTTTGCACCCAGTTTTTTAACCACTCTTGAGGTAGCTTAGATTGTTACTAAGAGAGAATGCATCGTCTACTTTAGCAGTATGCTGGTGAAAGGAAGTCAGAGAAGAAACTACAGATCAACAAGTGGATACACTTGCAGATTTTATATCGAAAATCATCAACAAACACAAATAGTTGATGTACAGCATCCTTTTCATTTACCCACCTGCTGACTCCAGAGTTCATAGTCCTGGTTCTTTCTTCATCAACTGTTGTCATTTCAAAAACCAAAGGCAAGGCAGAGACCAAAGTTTCTGCACTGTGTTTGGTTTTTATTGTCAACCAGGGCAATAGAATGAATTGCAAAGAATTTGGAAAGTGTGGCAAAGGTAACATTTTATGGTCACACTATATTGTAGTACAAAGAAAATGACACATTTAGCTTTCAAAATATTCTATGGTAACCATTTTTACCTAAAATCGAGATCCTAGAGATATGGTCCAAGGAACATAACTGGAGTTCTTACAAAATTATTGCTTAGAATTGGCAGACACAAAAGGGAAGTGTAGTTTTCCTAAGAAAATATTATTATTTTTAAAGAGAGTAAATATTATTATTTTTAAAGATTTTAAAGTACTCTCTTGGGGCTTGAACTCACAACCCTGAGATCAAGAGTCGCATGCTCCACCAAACGAGTCAGCCAGGCGACCAGAAAGTATTATTGTTGGAGAAGCATAAAGTGCATTCTAACAGGTGAGGGGTAATTTGATAAGACAGGACTAAGATAGAACTAATACTAAACATTCTAAGTATAGACGCATGTAAATGTTTCTTCTAAAATAACTGGACGTGGTCAACTTAGGACATTATGGATTTCAAATAATTGAAATAAAATAATATAATGAATAAATGAAATAATGAATAATGAAATAAAATAAATAATATAATGAAATAAAATAAAACAAATAATTACATTTGTTTTATTTTTAGGTATAGTGAGAGACCAATGTGGTTTTTGGCCATACGTATTAAAAAGAAAGATCCAACTCTATAGGCTTGAAATAAGTCTTGGAAATTGGCAATAGCAAATAAAGTACTTAGGAATAGTTTAAAAATTATAGAGGCCACTGTTTTGAATGGCTCTTATTTATTTTGAGAAAGAAGATCTATTTTAAAAATGACCAGGGTTCTTATGGCTCTATTTCTTGTTTTCAGACACAGTTCCTGGAAAGAAGACAGGTGAATCACTCAGGATGCTCTCAGCGACCGCCATTTCAGATACCTTGTAAGCCACAGAAACTTCCCCCACTCCTGTAAAAAGCCAGTGGCATTTTATAAATAGAAAGCTCACAAAACATGTTGATTTTAGAAGAGTTCATAATTTAGAATATTTTTTTTTAAGATTTTATTTATTTATTTGACAGACAGAGATCACAAGTAGGCAGAGAGAGAGAGAGAGGAGGAGGAGGCAGGCTTCCCGCTGAGCAGAGAGCCTGATGCGGGGCTCGATCCCAGGACCCTGGGATCATGACCTGAGCCGAAGGCAGAGGCTTTAACCCACTGAGCCACCCAGGTGCCCCTAACTTAGAATATTTTTATAGACATTCAAGAAAATAGGAGTCCTTGAAAAGATACTCTCCGTATATAGCTGGAAGAAGCCAGTTGTTATGAGAAAGGTGATTCCCATGTTTTCTACATTTTACAATTCCAATTTTGGCTTGGCTTATCTATCCATTTATCTACTTACCTACCTACCTACGGACTTATCTTGTATTTTGGTCAGTGCTAGACAGGAGGTGAGCACTATTTATAATCCGCTCATGAGAAACACCCGTAGCAGCATACCCATGGCATTCTAAAACCTGGGGAAAGAATGGTTGTGCGCCGACGTGCTGCCCTGGGTTACTGACCAGCCTCCGAATGTCCCGCTCTGACTCCCACTTGATCTTGGAGATGGCTTCCTGGTGGGACTGGTGCTCACTCCTAAGGTCACCGGCCTTGATCTTATCCGCCTGGATCATATTGCTTAGAGCTTCGTCCACCTGCTTCTTGGCAGTTTTCAGGTCCGCAATTTCCTGTAAGAGCTTAAGGCGCTCGGCATCAAACAGCTTCCGGGCCTCCTCCCGGGCCTCAATGGTGAGCGCTGTCCTTACTTTGTCACTGCTGCCGTCCCGGAGAGCACACAGGGCCGACTTGAGCCTCTGGATTTCTCCATCCCGCAGCTTCACTGTCCTTGACATTTCTTGCTCGTGCTGCTTGATGAGATTCTCTCTCACAGCCTGCAGCTCCTTCATCTTTTCCTCATGGAGCTTGGCTTTGAGTTCTGTCACCAGGACCGTGTGCTTGCGCTGCTCCAGCTCACGGATCCTCTTTGCTTCTTGAGTCTTCTCTCTTTCAAGCTTAGACACCTAAGGGCAGAGAGGCGAAAGGATGAAACAAGGTGATCCTCAAAGGGAAGGTGGGCTCCTGAGCAGGCCTGTAGCTCAGAGGCCTGGGCTCTCCCAATTCCTCACCTTTTCTTGTCCAGTCACTGAGTGCTCAGAAGGAAGGGAACCACAGGCCCCAGAGCTGGGAAGACAGGAAGGAGGAGATACCTGGGGATGCTTGTATTATTTGGTGCAGACAGTATCTGAGGTTTGGGGCCCTCACTATCCATCTGTGGTCTGCAGACAACCAACACAGGCATCGCCCAGAAGCTTGTCAGAAATGCAGAATCCAGGGCTCCTCTCCAGACCTACAACCAGGACGTGCATTTTAACAAGTCCCCAGGTGATCGTATGCACATTAAAATTAGGGCACAGTGCTATAACGGTTTTCACCTTGGTGGGGAGAAGTTCAGAACAGATCACCTGCAGAGCTTTTTAGAACACATCCCTGGCTAGGTGCAAGCTGATACATGTGGGCATCTTAGGACAGTTCAGTGCTCAAAATGATCATTAGACTAATAAAGTGGTGCCCAAGGTGATATTATAAATATTTCTCCTATTTCCCCCTTCTGTTTTGGCTGCTGTAATGGAGAAATGAAACCAGCTGATATATCCTCAACCTCACCTTTTTTCTATGGCAACTTGGTTCTACCACCAAACATTATGCATAAACACACACCAGCCCCAAACACTGTGGTTCACTGGGCCACCTCTCTGTTCAAGGGTTCAGTGGCTGTTATTTCTGCATGCTCCACAGATGTCCCTTTGTGTCCTTCCCTGCCCCACTCAGCAACCTCTCCTGCTCCCCCCACCAACTAACCGTCCAAGCAGTTTAAGAAAGTGTTCCTTCTAACATTTAGACCTTTCGGGTATTTTGGTTAACAAAATCTTCTGTTTTGCTTCACTTCCGTTGATGATGTGGGTCTCCTTATAGATTAGCCATGGTACTACCTTAAACTGGCTGAGTCTGGCTCTGATTCGGTAGATCGGGGGTGGGGCGGGGTGGGGGACCTGGCATGTGTGGCTTGGAGAAGCCTCTCAGCAAATGTTCTTTACTATCATCTTCCTCCCCCTCTTCGTCTGTACTGTCTTTGTTCCTCTGCCTCTGTCGTGTACCACAGAATTACACACTCACTCTCTCTCTCTCTCTCTCTCCACACACACACACAGTAACCTGGAAAAAGGGAAGAATTAGGGAACCCTGCGAGTAATATCCAGTTCAGTGAAACTGGGTCTCTGCCATTTGCAAAATAGGAAAGTTTCATGAAAAAATCGTGAAGAGCCTCTCCAGCTAAAAAATGTTAAGATTCAAACTCCTTACTGAGATTCTTGTAATTATAATGGAAAGCATGTGAGATTTTACTTACCTTAATAGTACCTACCTTTGGCTAGAACTGGATTTTCTAAGTCCACATGGCAATTTATGAATATTTTATTTTAAAGGCATAGCAATTACCACCACACTGGATATTCTAAAAGAACTCAGGGCACAAGGAGACTTGGGAAAATAAATAGCCAGGCATCCTTCAATGACTGTCTTTGATCTTGCCTCCAGCTTCGGCCAGGGTCCCTTCCTAGATGCTTATTATTACCTATGTTCTAGACCTGCGCTGTCCAATACAGTGACCACTGGCTACACAGAGTACTTGGAATATCCCAAGTCTGAACTGAGACTTACTCTAAATGAAAATACACACCAGAATGTAAAAACGTCAGCAATAATTTTTATATGGATTACAAGTTAAAATTATAATATTTTGGATGAATTAAATACAGTATGTTGTTAAAACTAATGATTTCTTTTTTACATTTTATAATTGTGGTTACAAGAAATTTAAAAATCACATACATGCCTTGCATTTGTGGACTGTATTATATTTCTCCTGGACAGCTTTGCTCTAGGGTTCTTGGTGTGTTGAATGAGATAGGCTTTCATGATGGTGATATTTCTCCTAATAAACCCAGTATTTTTTTTTTTAAGATTTTTTTTTTTTTTAAGATTTTTTTTTTTTTGAGAGAGAGAACGGGCATCCCAAATAGACTCCACAGAGTGTGGAGCCAACCCTGGGCTCAATCTCACCATCCCGAGATCACCGCCTGAGCCAAAACCAAGAGGCAGATGCTTAACCAACTGTACCACCCAAGTGCCCCAGGAAAGCCCAGTTCTGACCCAATTTATGGGCTCAAAAATCATCCAGGGCTCCTTTATGTTGCTGAATAAAACCCCAACATCTCAGCTTCACCTTTCCTGCTCTCAGAAGATTTGGTTGGACCCCCCCAGCTCCTGTTTCTGTTTCTCACTCTACCTCTCCTCACCTGTCCCACACTACAGGTACTGCTTCATTTTGTGATCTTGTCATTTCTCTCAAATTATAAACACTAATCTTTTGCATGTAGACTGGAGATGAATGAAAAAGAAAAAAAATGAAAATATAGGTGTATGAAAAATATATTCCAGTCTGAAGATAAAAACAAATACAAACAAACACTGGCTTTCTTGTCCATCACTTGAAGGAATCCACAGAATCCAAAGAAAACTCAAAGGCATTGATTGATTACATTTGGCATTTTTCATGTCTGCTTATTTTGGTTGCCATGGAAACTGGCATTTTTGCAGGATTTCTAGGTATGACTTGTTTCTTAAGCTTGGGAGAAGTGTTTCACTATGAAGCAGACACAAAGGATGTGACTGACATTCGGGAAGGAAAAAAGCCAATTAAAATTTTTATAGTAAAATCACTTTCTGAAAATTATTTGCAGCTCAGAATGTACCAGTAAGAAAATAGAATTTACTATCTTTCTGTAAATCGTACACAAAAAGAGAAAGAACTGCTCCCGACTGACAAGGAAAAATGTAAAGATAATACTTTAAGTGAAAAAAAATACTTAGAAGAAGAATCAATTTTGATAAGTGCTGCTGGATCACATAATAGCATTTATTGAGGGCTTACTGTGAGTTACACAGCTTCCTAAAGACTTCACACACATTACCGCATTTAACCCTGGCAGCTCTGTGATGTAGGTAGTATCTGTGTCATCCCAATGTCAGATAAGAAAAGTGAGGACGAGTCTCTGCACAAGCACAGTGTGAAGAAGGCTGCTTAGCACCCAGCGTGGGCCAGCAGCCAGGTATGGGTTGGGTCCCAGACCTCCCTATGTGCTTAAAAAAAAAATTATTATTCATTTCATTTCAGTTCAGTTTAGTTTTATTTGGGAGAAAGAGAGAATGTGCATGCACCAGCTGGGGAAGGGGCAGAGGAAGAGGGAGAAGCTGACTCCCTGATGTGTGCAGAGCGCAACTTGGGGCTCTTGAGGGGCTCGATCTCACCACCCTGAGATCATGACCTGAGCAAAAACCAAGAGTTGGGCTCAACCAACTGAGCCACCCAGGTACCTCCTTCCTGTTAATTCTGAAACCTCTGGCAAACTGTTCTCCTCCCCAGCCTCCATTTTCTTATGTGTTAACTGGGATTGGGGGTCTCATTCTCATATGGTGAGGGCTGACTTAGATAATGTATTAAAAGTCCTTTGGAAAGACTGGAACACCTGGGAGATTAGTAATTATTAATACATGGTTAAATAGTATAGTATTAATTTTGATGAATATTGATGCCATATTGGTATTATTATATAATGCAATGCTGTATTAATACCAATGACATAAATATAAGAACCCATATTATCAGGATAAGACCAACATGACTATTACTATATTATTAAGACCATAATAACTGTTCTCCTAACAGAAACCTTGAAAACAAAGGTAAAATTGGGTCTCCTGGAGATACCTTGAGTTCCCTGGCATTGGTGGCATCTAATCTTAACTTGGAAGAGACTCAGATTATATGTATTCAGGAGTGGGCTGTGGGACAGGACAGAGTAAGGGGATGAGCAGTGAACAGGCTTTGAAAGATACAGATTCCAAATTCCTTCTCCCCTGGAGGTTTTACGGAAGAAAAAAGTCACCAGGAAAATTTAATCCTCCTGGGGAGAACTTACACTGTGTCAGAAGGAGAAACATTCTGATTACTACCCCACCCTGGCCTCAGATGGTATTTTCCTTTCTAGTCTAGCCTTTGAAAGCCCGGGTAAATTCTGCCGAGATAACGATGGTCATGTCTGAGCTTTAATGTGACCTTAGAAATCTAGGATGAAAAACTGGATGGCCTGATCCAAGGTGAGGAAGTTGAGAGGTTATCTAGGCAAGACAAGCTAACATGAGCTTGGGTGTGGATTATCTGCACTGGATGTTCCAGGATATCTAAACTCACAGTAGGCAGGCAGGGAGGCTCATGGGCGCTTAGTAAGTCGCAGTCAGAAGATATGAAGCTGCACTATAGAAGGTTGTTTATAAGGGAAATTTTATACAACCCGTAGAGGTACAAAGGCTTCTATTTTTTCATTTCTTACTTTTAGACACAAGGCTTCCTGAACACAAAACTAAAGGCGCATAAAACAAGAAATGCTGCATCCCAAATTGGGGCGCTGAGCATGGAGGCTTTGGAGCAGTCATTTGAGGACAAGGGTTGGCTGATTCTCTGGGAGTTCTAGAGGCAACCAGATACTCAGCATTACCCAGGTCATTTGGGAATTTCCATTTTAGCTCCTCTACTCCCTGTGTCCTCGGGAGCACATCAGTTAAACCATTCGAACTCATTTTCTTTCTCCGTGAAACTGGAATCACACCTTGCTTTCCTCCCAGAAAATGAAAAAATAGAAGCCTTTGTACCTACAATGAAGGCTGTCTCTGAGGGAAAGGAGGGAGCCCTTGGGAATAGGTGGGTGGGCTCCACATCTCACAGCAATCCCTAGTGAGCTCACACACCCCTGGGCTTTGTACCTACAATGAAGGCTGTCTCTGAGGGAAAGGAGGGAGCCCTTGGGAATAGGTGGGTGGGTTCCACATCTCACAGCAATCCCTAGTGAGCTCACACACCCCTGGGCTGCAGATCATGGCCTCACGCTGTCGACAGGAGAGACAG